AACTCGTCAAGGAGCTGCAGCCAGCAAAAGCATAATTTCCAGCACTCGTCACCAGCCCAAAAAAAAACATCTGTAATTTGAATCAGACTCCGGGATGGTCAAACTCGTCAAGGAGCTGCAGCCAGCAAAAGCATAAGTTCCAATCCAAGTCACAGACTCCGGGATGGTCAAACTCATCAACGAGGTGCAGTCACGAAAAACATCACTTCCAATTTGAATCACAGACTCCGGGATGGTCAAACTCGTCAAGGAGCTGCAGCCAGCAAAAGCATAATTTCCAATCTGAGTCACAGACTCCGGGATGGTCAAACTCGTCAACGAGGTGCAGTCACGAAAAACACCACTTCTAATTTGAATCACAGACTCCGGGATTTTCAAACTCGTCAAGGAGCTGCAGCCTTCAAAAGCAAATGTTCCAATTTGAGTCACAGACTCCGGGATGGTCAAACTCGTCAAGGAGCTGCAGCCAGCAAAAGCATAAGTTCCAATCCAAGTCACAGACTCCGGGATGGTCAAACTCATCAACGAGGTGCAGTCACGAAAAACATCACTTCCAATTTGAATCACAGACTCCGGGATGGTCAAACTCGTCAAGGAGCTGCAGCCAGCAAAAGCATAATTTCCAATCTGAGTCACAGACTCCGGGATGGTCAAACTCGTCAACGAGGTGCAGTCACGAAAAACACCACTTCTAATTTGAATCACAGACTCCGGGATTTTCAAACTCGTCAAGGAGCTGCAGCCTTCAAAAGCAAATGTTCCAATTTGAGTCACAGACTCCGGGATGGTCAAACTCTTCAAAGAGCTGCAGCCAGAAAAAGCAGTATCTCCAATCCAAGTCACAGACTCCGGGATGGTCAAACTCGTCAAGGAGCTGCAGCCAGCAAAAGCAGAAGTTCCAATCTTAGTCACAGACTCCGGGATGGTCAAACTCGTCAAAGAGCTGCAGCCAGCAAAAGCATAAGTTCCAATCTGAGTCACAGACTCCGGGATGGTCAAACTCGTCAAGGAGCTGCAGCCAGAAAAAACTTTGTGTCCAATCTGAGTCACAGACGCCGGGATGGTCAAACTCGTCAAAGAGCTGCAGCCATCAAAAGCATCACTTCCAATTTGAATCACAGACTCCGGGATGGTCAAACTCGTCAAGGAGCTGCAGCCAGAAAAAGCTTTGTGTCTAATCTGAGTCACAGACGCCGGGATGGTCAAACTCGTCAAAGAGCTGCAGTTCTGAAATGCTCCAATCTGAGTCACAGACTCCGGGATGGTCAAACTCGTCAAAGAGCTGCAGCCAGAAAAAGCATTATCTCCAATCCAAGTCACAGACTCCGGGATAACCAGTCGCAACAAGCAAGCGCATCCTTCGAAAGCACCTGTTTGGATGGATGTTTCAGTGCTAGGGATGCGTACGTCACGCAATTCCTCCACCGTGTGGCCAAATGCATTAACACACTCAATTGCCGGCTTGACATAGAAGATAACCTGCACGTTGGCAGAGTCGAGGATACAATCTGAGACGGTCATCTGAAGATCATTCAGTTTCTCCCCGTGAAGGACAAACTCCACGGTGCTGAGTATCCGGGTGATCTCATCCTCTGATGGATGGAAAACCTTCACTTCCTCTTTCAACTCTCCAATCGTCATTTCTGGCCGCACTGCCAGGGTGTAAACTTTGCCACTGAGCAGTTCCACATTGATGTTTCTTGCCATCGCAACACACAAATTTTCCAAGAAATCTCTGGTCTTGAACCACTAAGGTGCACCAAAGCAATCTGTTATCAGAAAACCTACTGGTTGCTTCACAGCATTCCTATATTGGATTAGTCCGAAATCCCCATCAACTTCCAGAAAATACCAACACAAATTGAACTGTAGAGATAAATTGAACTTTAGATACATAACCATATGTGTTCCTTAAATGGTGGTGTTGTTTGTGTGAGTTCGATCGGGTTATTGTTACATTATATCTCCATGAGGTTGGGTTTGCCCGAAACTTTGAATAGGGACCGACAAGAATGTAAATGCTCAAATGAACATGTGTTGAGCATCATTTTCCCCAAATTAGCATGTTGGACTTGTCTGAAAATGGCTACTCAAAGTATGTACCCTCCGGTAAACGTTTACAGTTTGCTATTGAAAAATGCCATAGAAATCGTTGATTTCCCCATTAAAAATGGTGATTCTCCCATTAAAAATGGTGGATCTTTCTTTCCATATAGCTATGTGAAAAAAAATCCCGAATCGATGGCCATGGGATCCTTCGATCATCTAAGGGTGATATTTTCCCGGGATTTCCGGCATCCATCCCCATTAGAAATATATATAATATATCCCATCTCCGAACACAAGATGATAAAAAAAAAGCCCTAACTTCTAGCAGATTACAATAAAAAAAAGTTGCAATTGTTGTGAATGATGGAGGAACATATGAATCCTAAATACTATAGGTGAATTACCCTCTGGTTATTGAACATAGCCATGGTATAGATGGCCCATAGAAATAGATGGTTCACCTATTAATAGCATGGTGGATCTTTCCATGGCAAACTGTTAGTCATAACCAGAGGGTAATTACACTAAGAATTCCTAACATTCGAATTTTCCATTCCTGATCCATGTGAATCCCCACAAAAAAAAAGTGGAGGCTGCCCGGGCTTACGCTCTCATCGAAGGCTCAGTGATCGGGCAGCTCAACTGGTTGTCTAAGGCTCGAAATTACCGGGGTAACGTTAGTAACTGGTTGGTGGTTTCAACCCCTCTGAAAAATATTAGTCAATGGGAAGGATTATCCCATGATGGAAAATGAAAATTGATTGAAACCACCAACCAGACAAAGTCATAGATCGCAGCATGGTGTCGAGTCGGCAACATGAAAATAGCGCTGCAATTTTCACACTTTTTGGTGATCTGGAGCCCGACGGAAGTCAGGTGGCGTGGCAGCCATGCCGGTCATCGCCTTTGAATCTGCCTCGAATTGGGGCGATACCAGTTACAGCCCTACAGTTATGGCCGGAACTAGGTATTGGTATAAGTCAGTTCCAACATGTTATAACCCCATTTATGGAATCATAATCCCATAGAAATAACCATAAACCAAAGTGGCATTTCGACCCAAATAACTGTAGTGTTCTCCGTAGATTCCATGGACCGTCAGAAAACCAGCCATGAAATCATGTCTCTGTAGTGAACAAACCAACATGAGAAGTTAATGAACTGCTTTGTTCGTTATTGATGATCATTCATTTGGTTATTCAATGTCATTCATGTTTCTTTAATGGTTATAGTTATTATTAGTATTGTTATAAGTTAATTAAATCATCATCAGTCAAATATGTGTACTTCCAAAAGCCCAAAAGCGAATCCACCAGCCCAAAACGATGGTCCATTTGGATCATCTAGGCCTTGCAGCTGGTTATGAAATTGGGCAAAGCCTTTTCAATGGTGGTTAACGGTGGTTAATTGGGCAAAGCCCTAATCATCAGAGGTGGTTAATGGATATATATATATATTATATATATATATATCTGGTTGGTGGTTGACAAAAACTCCTCTGAAAAATGATGGAGTGAGTGAAAGTCAGTTGGGATGATGACATTCCATTCCCAACTTTTCCATAGGAAAGTCATATAAACCGAACCATGTTCCAAACCACCAACCAGCTTTAGTAAAAACCCACCAAATCTTCAGGGTGAGACTTCGAACTCCAGCACTGCACAAAAACTGCGTGACCTCTGGGTGAACAGAGCAGGGCAATGACCGCTGCGGGTGTGCAACAAATGTTCCAACAAATGTTCGTTCCAACGCAGACTTCTGGCGAAAAATAGTGAAACAATGATGCTATATATAACCACTGGCTCCCGTGAAAACCACGGAGCTTTCAACATGTCCCCGAAATTCTCAGAGAGGTTAGAAAAAAAAATGTGTCTGATCATTCTTCGATCATTTTTACATGGGGATGTCCGGATGTCCCAGCCGATTTAAAGAAATTTGCCATCTGGTTATCTAACATAGCTATGGAAAATCCCCAGCCATAAATGGAGATTTCTAGCTGGGAAAATGATCGATTTCTATGGACCATGGCTTCCATGGCCATGTTAGTCATAAGCAGAGGGGGAATTGTGTCTGATGATGCTTTCGATGTCCCAGCGCATTTTGGTTCTGTGCTTTCTTTCTTCCAACGTGTGGCACACCCGCTGCGACACAGCAATCACGGTTCCCTTCAGTTGACCATGGGTACATTGGGTTCGCCCCCCCCGTGATGTGAATGTTGGTTTATAATGGTTTATACACCCCATGAATACTATGGTTATAGGTATCATATACCATAGTGAAATTGGAGTTATAAAGCAACTTAGCTATCTAGGGGGGCCCACATTGTACTCATGGATCAAAACTGTGTAACTGGAGATGAAATCAGCCAGATTTTTCAATTTCTGGCTGAAGATTAACAATTCACCAACATGAAAACAGAACAAGGCGCTTCTGCGTTTGTTGCCGACGTTGCCGATTTCAATGACCATTTCATCACTGGACTTTGGACAATTTCGACCCTTTGGGACTGCTAGGACCTTAAAACGAAATTCTGGAGCTCCCCGCATTGTTTGGATGATCCAATTATTTTTTCAGCAACTTGGTAACTGGATCACACATCACTTATTGTAACAATTTAGTAAATATAATACATCATAGAATATCATGGATGCCATCAATAAAATAATGTATCACAAGCTATACAACTGGTATCAATACAAAAATCAAGCCTCAACCAGATTCACACATGCATAAAAAAAACTCACCAGTACCCTCTGGTAAACGTTTGCAGTTTGCTATTGAATTTACCCATTTAAACATGGTGATTTTCCACAGTTTTTGTAAACGTTTACTTGAGGATAAACCACCATCAATCCCGAGTGAAACCCATGAAATCACCATTAAATCACCATTAAAATCCCCAATGTTTATCACCATTGAAACCATCGAAATCTTCTTGGATCATCCACATCTTACGTCCCGTTACGTCCACCGCGGCTTCGGAAGAAGGAAGCGCGCTGGAGCCAAAGAAAGAGGACACCTCCATGGCCACTGGGTTAGTGATAATAGCCATGATTATTTTGCTAATGTTGGGTATGTCATAGCCAGATTTGTTTTTCATATAAATCATAATGGTTATACTATGTTATACTGCAAAAACTGGGATGATTCGGAAAAAAAAAAAAAAAAAACTAATAATCATGGGTAATAATTGGTTATATAATGTTATATATTCATGTTAACCCTAAACCCTAAACCTTCAGGTGGGGATGGTGGCTGAAAAAAACCGCCCATCTGGTTTTCCATGGGGGTCACACTTCTTCGGATGAATTTGTGTGATGAACTTCCAGTTTTCACCCACAGAATGGCTGGATGATAACCCTTCGGAAAATTCAGCACTCGGAGTGCTAAATCTTCCAAGGTGTTTTAGATCTTCAGGGGCGCAAAAAGATGTGTGTCGTCAAAGGGCCCTTTTTTCGAGTTACCGGAAAAATGGTGTAGCCTCCAGTCAACATGGCTGGAAATTTCCCTTCAGAGGAAGTTTCCAGCCACGCTTGATTACCGGACACAAGATTAAGGCGTGTAGAAGTTGTTCCTTAGGGATTTCCTGGACATGTTCACTTCATCTGCTGAAATGGCTGGTTTGTGACAAATTCCTTGGCTGAAAATTCATCCGGCTGTAGCCTCTGGTAAATTCACATAGCGGAAAGTATCACAAGATAATGTCATATAGGTAAGTCATAGGTAAAACGTCATTCTTTAGTCCATAGGTCATCGAACTAACTTGGCCATGGCTTCCATATACTCTCTGGCAAACTAACATAACTACGGAAAATCACAATTTTAAATAGGTAAATCAACTGCTTTCAATAATAAACTGTTAGTTTACCAGAGGGTATGTGTGTTCAATTACCGGAGGGCCATGGAGTGAGTCAACTGGGTAATCAATGGGGCTTAGCTCGTAAGAAATAGGCACCGTTCTGAACGGCTGGTTTCTCTGAATTCATAGTGCAAAAGCCTAAAACCCCACGGTTCATCGAAAAACTCCTGATTATCCTTACCCTCTGGTAAACTAACATAGCTATTGAAAATGGTGATTTATAGTGGATTTACCCATTGAAAATGGTGATTTTCCATAGTTATGTTAGTTTACCAGAGGGTATCTTAACATCATAGTTCATGGTGTCAGACGCACCCAAATAGCAGACTGTTGGATATCAATCTCATCTTGCTATCCCATCAAAATCCCATTCTATCCTGGATTGTTGCTCATATCCCATATCCCCATCCAATTCTATACTCTATACCTATCATATCCCTATGATATCCCAATCAACGTGGTGACAAATTCCCGTCTTCCCGCGGATTCCTTTCCCTCAAAAATCATCCTACTCGCAAGTGCTCAAAAACCCTATAGTAACAGTTCCCATTTCTTAAGAGCTTCTCCCATAACTGGAGTCACTGGGTGCCATTGCTGGGTCAAAATCCTGGTACCAAGTCCAGGTACACTCCGACGCCACCAAAAGCACAGCGGACCAAGCGGGCAGCAAGCGGGCTTTTGGTTGAAATCCCACGAAGAAATAGTTCACGTACCAACCGCCCAACCATCCCACTGTGACCTTGATCGTCGCAGGATTGTTGTGTGAAAAATATCTTGGACGCTTGTTTTTCTTGTATGTATGTCATCAGCGGTTTATATGTGATCTGTATGTATATATATATATTGCTTTATGCACAATAGACATTGTGGGGTATCAACAGTATACATATATGGGTTTGTCCAAGAAATGGGGTGCGTAGCCAACAGAAATGGTGATATCACATGCCAAAAATGAAGTTTTTTTTTTTTCAGAAGGCTGGACATAATGGCTGGGGAGGGATATGTTTTAAATATAATTAATGTGCTTGTAGAATGGCCTATGCCCCGAAATGTTCATCCAAACAAGGAAAACCATCGAAACCCATCGAGATAACCATGGGATTTGGGGATACCCTATGACCCTATGGAGAAAATCGTGAATCCTGTGGAGAAATCGACTTCAAACATCTTCAAACTATGGTGGCCAAGCCGTTGATGGTTTGTCAGAGCGGCATAATGATAGACACAGCGAAATGCATACTATATGCCCTGCGGAAATTCAACACAGCGAAACTTCATATACTTCATTCACCTATGAAACATTCTAAAAAAGATCCAGTTCGCAAACTCTGAAGAATTACCATCTGGTTATTTAACATAGCCATGGAAAATCCCAACCATAAATGGAGGTTTCTAGCTGGGAAAATCATCTATTTCTATGGGCCAATAATAACCATGGCAAACTGTTAGTCATAACCGGAGGGTATATACCAATAATATCCCATCAAATCACCATTTTTCATTCAGTAAGTCCCTATCGTTTGATTCTTGGCTTTCCATGAGATTTTTTCCGGCGGAAGGGATGGCCACCGGCGAATTTGCCCATGAGTATCCCATCAAAAAGTGGCTATGTAATGTAAATCAGATACTTAGACGATATACAATATATCAATAATAACAACATTGTAGTGTATCTATACATATATGTCCATGTGTGTAAAATATTATCATCTTATGTAACTATAGATACAATACACGTTTACACCGTGTATTACGTAGTTACTACTAGACTTGCGCAAATCGCTCCCCGCAATGTTTCTTTCAAGGGTCAATGGCAGCTAGGAACATGTTCAAAAAGATGTCGCAGCACCTCACCATAAAAACTCGCAGCAGGACGGCGAGTTTAAAGATGTCCCCTTTAAGAGAAACAGGATGGAAGCCCCGTTCGATAGCGTTCAGTTGCCTTAGAAAAGTGGCTGAATTCTATGGTTTATGGTAGATATAACGAACTAGTATTCATGGGGTCTATAAACATCTATAAACCTATAACTAGGGGGCACCATCCCAAATGGGCGTGTCAAATGTAGGGGAAAACAAAGAATAAACCCATGGTCAATCACCATTCAGGTTTTGACAATAAGCCCCACATGGTCTTTTTACTTCAGCAGCGCCAAAAAAATCACCATTATATCAATTATATCCTTCAAATGGCAGTTTGAATAGAGATAGGATAATGAGAATAATCCATTGGACAATGGAATCCTCTAGGAATATGAATTCCTCATGATTCCAACCATCCCATTTTCCGACAAACCCTTGGAGAACTGATCGACAAGCTGTGAAGAAAAGGTGAAGGGTGCCGTCCCCGTGTAAACATTGCCCCCTATAAATGTTTAAAGGACCCTTAAATTACTACAATGTGGGGCCCCCCAATTATGTTTGGTTTATAAAAATCTTGAATACTACAGTTATAGGTATCATAAACCATAGTTATGGGAGTTATGTTCACCAACTTAGATATAGTAAACGGGGGCCCCACATTGTAGATGTTTAAGTGAGTTATCTGATGGGCGATTCACTGTGAATGAACCCAACAATGAACAAAATCCGTCATAGTGTTATCGCCACAGAGCGATGTGAATTACCCTCTGGCAAACATACAAAAAACTATGGAAAATCACCATATTTAATAGGTAAGTCAACTATAAATGGGCAATGTTCAATAGCTATGTTAAATTGAATTATAGACATTTTCTGTTGGTGGTTTGAACCCCTTTGAAAAAGTTGAGTTCGTCAGTTGGGATGATGACATTCCCAATTGAATGGAAAAATAAAAATGTGCCAAACCACCAACCAGTTTTGCTATCACCTCTCAGCATGTTGACACGTTGGTTGAGAATGGGATTCCGTTCATGGATTGAGATAATCCCCAATACTCACTGTTTTTTTTCATATAATCTCTAAACCGCTCATCCATCAACCATCATTTACCCTCTGGTAAACCAACATAGCTATTGAACATGGCCATTTATTGTTGATTTACCCATTAAAAATTGTGATTTTCCATAGTTATGTTAGTTTACCAGAGGGTACCAACTATATCCATATCTATTCCCAAATCTTCTTGGTTAAAATCCCAACGAAATAAATAACACTAATCATCAACCAACAGGGGCTTGGAACACTGCGATCCCCCACAGCAAACTGCCTAAAAAGAATATGGGTAAACCAATCAGATCTATCAATCTTAAATTGTTTTTTGGTAAAACAATACATATATATAATTAATATAAATAATATTTGTATATGTATGTATATATATATATATACTGTTTAGATTTTATGCTTAAAATGTTTATATACCAATAATGGTTAAATAAACATAACATACGAAGCATCGCTGATTCATCCCCCGGCGCGTGCGGCACCTGGACCAACGACTGGCGAAGCAATGGCACAGACGGAAGCACAAGGGAACCTGATCCGTCGGTGGGCTCAATGAATTTGGTCATTGAAGGTGATGACTTGGGCCCACCTTCAATGACCAAAATACCATGTTTTTATGGTTTCAACTCATCAAAATTGAAGGTGGGAGAAAATTCAATGACCACTTAGTCTCAAGAATCACCACTTGGTGGGAGAAACTTCAATGGTGCAAAAATATAAAAATGTCAACCATGTCAACCATGTCAATCACCAAGTGGTTTAATGGATTGAAACCATAAAAACCTGAAGTTGACATCACTTGGTGAATTCGATGGTTTCGATCGCAGCCAAAAATGGTGATGACTTGGGGGATTGTTTATGAAAAGTTGGGTGAATCCCACATTATTCACTGGGAGAAGTGGATTTTATGGTTTATTGTGGATATAACTATAGAGAGTTAATGTGAATGTCAATCACCAATGGGATTTAATGGGATTGTATGGTAATTTAATATGAGTTAATCCGATTTTCTGGTGATTTAATGGAAACTTGATAATTAATGGACTGGCTTAAGGGAAACTTGAATCCGGAAAGTCCCCAGCATTTCATAGGAAAGTCGATGGTTTCCGGTGAAGATTTTCCTCAGGCAAGCCACAAGGCTTTGCAAAGGGTTCATTATTGAGCATAGAATGGAAATTCGTGATTTATAAGGTGATTTTAAGGCAATAGAATGGAATCAACCATTATGGTTATAGAATGGAAATGGTGATTCTGGTGATTCACCATCATATAAATATATAAATCACCATTCACAATTAATTCACCATTAAATAGATCATTGAATATAAATCACCATTAGTAATCGATTATGAATTGCTCATTCGGTATCACATCATCCATAAACGATTGGAAATGGACATCCCATTGGGATGTTTAAATCCCGCATGGCAGCCAGGTACGTGCCGATGGGATCCATGGGATCCATGGTGAAAATGATGACCGATTGACCAGTGGATTCAGAGGTACCCAAAAATCGGAGAGCCTTGCCCCTGGAAGCAGGAAGGCAGTTACAACATACCCGGTCATCATTTTTGTGGCTGGAAAATCACCTGGGGCCCTAGAGATTCTAATGGTTGATTTTCATTGATTTTCCACGTTTGATGACACCGGAGGTATGTTGTTCATCATCCCACAACATCCGAATAACTCATCACCATCGAGGCACCATCATCATCATCCAAATGCCAAAGCCCAGCACTGGCCCCAGAAAGCGCCAAAAGGTGTCTTCATCGAACCAAGTTCCTGACGCATAATCCTCAGTGCAAATTCCCAAGACGGCCGACCCGAATGGCATGAACATGAGTCGATCCCTGGGGGGTCAAATGTTCAACTTCAGCTACGAAAAATGGGCTGAACATGAGTCACTTTAAAAAGGAAATACCCGGCCTGGTAATTTGTTACATAGCTATTGAAAATGGCTATTGAAATAGTGAGTTTTCCCAGCTATAAAATGGTGGATCTTTCCATTGTTTTTTGTATGTTTACCAGGCCGGGTAGACTGTACGTGGATAGACCACCCCAAGGTTGAACCGTTGGAAATTCCGGGGAAACCTCATCAGGATCATCCAATTGAAGGCTTGGAAGAAAATGATTCACGGAATCCTAATGGATAGAGATACACTAAACATTTTTCATGATATTGTGGCTACCTTGTATTCTTATGCTGTATATATTATTTATTATTATTTGTTTCATTGTCATGATGATTATCATTATGATTATATTTATTATGATTATTATTGTTATTACTATTATTATTATATTATTATTACTACTATATGTTATTATCATTTTGAATCATGATTATTATCAATATCATATATTTATCATATCTATTAGTACTACTATTGTTAATTGCTATTATTATTATATAGGTAGTCAATATGAAATCACTCGGAAACCAGATCGGAATACTCAAAATCCATGTCGAAAAAAACGATATCTTTTGGATGCTGAAAAGTTGCTTGGTGCAACGATCAAAACCCTTATTTTTGGCTGGTGAAACCACCATTGTATATATTTATATAAGGGCAAATTATTATTATTATTATTCACAAATTATAAGGGTAAACTAATGATATCATTATATAAGGTGAATGAAAAATAGAGTATCTGGGTAAATTATAATAATTCACTCATCTGAATTGTTGGGCCATTTGGGGATGATTCCCCTATAAAAACCATGATTCCAGGGTTCGGGAGAACAGTGAGGTCGTTATAATTTACCCAGATAATATGCTATGATATCAATAATGTGGAATAATAAGATCATATCCATCCCCAAATACGATGATTAATAGTGATTTTTGGATATTATGATATAATTATTGATAATTATTGTTGTCAAGAAATTGTCATAATTAATGATTAATCATGATACAATGATACAATGATTATAAAAGAACATTAATGAACACTGCTCACAGCCTGTGTGTTGGTCAGATCCCGTCATCATCAAATCCCTATCCTTCCCGCAGCGAATTCATAACACACCAACGGAGTCGTTGTTAGATGGGGATTATGATGAGTAAATATCGTAAATAAGATGACTTGGGGGTTCTACTACTCGTCTTGAAGGTCTTGAAGTCATTGGTCATGGAGAATTATATAAGATGCACTGAACAAAAAGCCTCCGGTCACCATTCATTTAGTGGCTGGAAAATTCACCATTCATTGAGTTCGGGGATTTACCAGCTAGCCTTGTTTGATGACACCGCCGGGTAAATGGATCTAAATGCTACAAATCACCCAATTAAGTGCAGTTCTCAACCAATTTTTTCACTATCCCACTGCATCATTGAGTATCTCATCAAGTCAACAGTGAAAACTGGTTGGGATGCTTCAATCATGCTACCCGGCCTAGTTCTTACTGTCCCACAACTATGGAAAGATCCACCATGCTATTCATGGGAAAATCCACGAACTAAATCACCATTTTCTATGTCGATATTTAAGTATGTTTACCAGAGGCAATGCCCCAAACTTCAATCATCCCCCAAGTTCAACAGCTTCTCAGCTCCGAAGCCGCCCATCAATTCCCATGTTTGGTCGGTGAAAAATCCAGAAACCCATGGCGCCAGCTTCGCGCCCCAGAATAATTCTGATTCTTAACATGGTTCATAAATTATCATAAATCCAATAAACGCATCAATCAAAAATAGGAATTAATCCAATACATGGTATTCATCAATTCCTAACATGGCTCAAAAATCATAAAACTACTCACTGAAAGTTCTGCGGCGGCGCCGGGAGAAACCCCTGGCCAAACGTTTTTCAAAACGTTCGTTAAATCTGTTGATGAAATGATCTGAAATCCCCATTGAAACCATGAACTTCGGATCTCCACTATCCCGGACCATCCCCAAGTCTTCCCTTCTAATTCTCCCAGATCCATATCATCCAGTCGCCCAGCAGTTTTCAGCCCAGGTTTCCGCGTTGTTGAAGAGGTGCAGCAAGAGCACCGGCAGCAGTAGCTTCGTGGAATAATGCTGTGCTGGGCCCAATGAGCCCAGCACTTTTTCGCTGACCATCTGACGGATCTGGCGGTTGCAGACCTGCCGAAGATCCCCGAAGATCCAAGGGCACCCGGGAAGATGGCCACAGGCCGAGACACAAAAAAAGGCCGTTAAATGCCAGTGATGTTTTTCTGGTTTCTATGAGGTGATCATGAACCAGAAATGGGGTGACTTGCTGATTTCCAACTGCGCCCCGGCCACGGGCCATACTTGGAGGATTTCTGTTGGTTTTCTATGAGGATTTAACACCAAGAATTGGTATTATTACTATATACGAGAGGATGCAAAGAAGTATAGAGTAATTTGGAAAAAGAAAAAAGTATACGTGATGGACTGAAATCGTGGCAAACGATCGGGGTCTTCTTCAACATTGGGGATTTAACAGGATATACCCTCCAGTAAACTAACATAGCTATGGAAAATGGACAATTTATAGTGGATTTACCCATTGAAAATGGTGCTTTTCCATAGTTATGTAAACAGTTTACCAGAGGGTAACCATACTTATTTTCATGATTTTGAACAAAAGAAAGCTTTGGAAATTCTAACCTTCAGTGTCCAGTGTGGTCTTTTTTGCCATATGTTGGAGCTTCACCAGTCCAACCAAAAAGGAGGCTATGCGGTACCCGCCATAAACCATCCCTGTCATATCAGCAGAAATGAATGGGTTGCTACACAATCAAGACTTGATGTGTTTCATGTTCCCCAAACATCTTCCCAGCGAAAAATGAACGTTTTCCAAAATGGTGGGGGCACCCCCAAAATAATCCATGTATAGATTCTCCATTATAAATATGATAAATTGTACCCTCTGGTAAATTAACATAGACCCTGGCAAATAGGGGATGGAAGATTAGCTTCTAAAAATTGCTATTTTCAGGGTCAAACTCTTAATTGACCAGATGCTAAATCATTCATAACTATGGAAAATCATCATTTTTCATAGGTAAATGAACTATTTGTATGGCCATTTTCATCCATTTTCAATGGCAAACTGTTACTGGTTGGTGGTATACCTACCCCTCTGAAAAATATGACTTCGTCAGTTGGGATGATGACATTCCCAACAAATCTGGAAAGTCATAATCCAGCCATGTTCCAGTCACCACCAACCAGTTTATAGATGAGTGATTTACCCTCTGGAAAACGTTTACATAACTATGGAAAATCACCATTTTCAATGGGTAAATCCACTATCAATGGTCCATTTTCCATAGCAAACTGTTAGTTTACCAGAGGGCAACTCCCATTAAACCACCATTAAACCACCATTACTGGAGCCTACCCCCATGGCGTGGCCGCGCTGGCCGCGCCATGCGCACACCTCAATCTCGGTGGTGTCGAACCAGTTGAGGATGGTCGCTTCGATGGTACTTCGATCCTGGAGATCCGAACCTGCAAAAGGCCCGGGCTGCGGAAACGGGGGGCCCGTATAAGTTCGGGCCACGATTGATCGCAAGTTGTTGGTTTATTTAGCAATGGAATATAACATTATATAACATACAATGGTCTATATAATTGGTCTACAATATAACTATACAGTTATTTGGTCTATATAACATTATATAACATGGAATATAACATTATATGGAATATCAATGGTTTATCAATGGAATATCAAAGGTTTATCTATCACTTATAATGGTTAAGAATGGTTATATCAATGGTTTATATACCTATAACTACTAGTATACTATAGTTAGAAACTATCTGAAACTCTGTTATACTATAGTTAGAAGTTATAAGTTGGTGAACATAACTCCCATTTCAGTATGGTTTATGATACCTATAACTTACATCTTCTAACTATAACTTAATGGGGTTTAGAGAAACCAACTTAGCTATCGTTTGGGGGCCCCACATTGTAAGCGATTCTCGCGAATGGGTTATAATATGTTATTCAAAGCTGACCTTACCCATTCCCAACAGCTGACCAATTTCGTTGCCAAAATTGATGAAAATCAAGAAAATGTGAAAAAGAAAGAGCAAGTAGGTTAATAACAACCACATAGCGCCCGAATGAGAGGGAATGAAACCAACGAACAGTGGCAGACACCCATGCTGCCACACCTGCTTTGTGGCATCCTGTGCAAGGGGACACGCACGCAGACATGTCACAAGAGCCATTTGTGTGGACAAGTGCATAAAAAATACCGAATGTTAATAACAGGGCCAGCATTTTGAAAAACTCTGCGCCTTTGACCTGCACCCTGACACTTCACAAGAGCCATTTTTTTGTAAGAAATTACAAGGAATCGGCCGAACGCAGATGATACTATCACGAATGAACCACAGAACTTTACTGTTACCGTACGACCCCCTTCAGTGTCGCCACACTCTTCCATGAAAAACCGTTCTTCCAGTGCACCAGAGCACATATCAGGGAGCACATATCAAAACCAAAAAAATAGACCAAGCCATCACAGACTGAGCATCGAGATTGCCGGAAGAGGGTCGACAATGTGGGATGCTATTCAAGAGCGCGGAATGGCACTCGAGAGCGCAGGCTAGACCCTAGATCGCATAATGGACCCCGGAACGCAGGATAGATTCGAGAGCGCAGGATGGACCCGAGAACGGAGGATGGACCCGAGAGCGTAGGATGGGCTCGAGAGCGCAGGATGGACCCGAGAACGGAGGATGGACCCGAGAGCGTAGGATGGGCTCGAGAGCGCAGGATGGACCCGAGAGCGGAGGATGGACCCGAGAGCGCAGCATGGACCCGAGAGCGCGTAATGGATTCGAGAGGAGGGGATGGACTTCAATCAAACCGTGACCTTCGCTCTTTTCGGAGACCAAAAAAAAAACGATACGAAAAAAAGGACCGATACGATTGAGCCACCGGATTGTTCCAACTTTCCCAAAACCTGAGTTTTGAGCTATTTGACTCCGACCTCACCCATTCGCGTCCGGCAAGCACAATCGTTCCAAAAAACGCAGCAAAACCCAAAAAAAAAATGGCAGGCCACACACCGAGATCGCAAGAACCATGCCAGATCGCAGGATCAACGCGAGAGCGTAAGATGGACCCGAGAGCGATTAGTGGACCCGAGAGCGATTAGTGGACCCGAGAGCGATTAGTGGACACGAGCGCGATTAGTGGACCCGAGAGCGATTAGTTGACACGAGCGCGCAGGCTGAACTCCAGAGCGCAGGATGGACCCCAGAGAGCAGGATGGACCCAAGAGACTAATGGATTCTAGACCGCAGTAAGAACCAGACCGCAGGATAGACTCAAGACCTCTAGCTGCTGCATTCCAGACAGTGAGTAGAAGTATCTCTCCGCCCTTTTGCAAAGAAACGCCCAGGATCTTTAGTATGCATTGAATCAGTTTCCAAATTCTGCAACAGCGATCTGCACGAAATTCCACAGTTGACTTAGCAAGCTCCTAGCAAGCATACTCCTAGCAGGTCTCACTCCAGCTTGGATCCCAAAAAACACGTCTGCTTAACGGTCTTCACATCAGCCGAAGCCAGATATTGGCTCACCGTGCCCGTCTTCCGAGACATCATGTGCACAAACCTGCAACCGTCCATATGGCTAATAATTTCTCGGGGGAGTCCACAGACATCGAGGCCGCAAAGAGGTACATGGTTCTCAGCAGTGAAGAAACAGCGACGAACTTCTAAGTATTGCGGAGCTTGTAAGCTAGCGTTCCCGCATCAATGTAAGCAAGTCAGACAAGATAATCAACCCAGCAAAATGACATTACAGAAATTACTTCCAAAACAAAGCTCCAGCACGATACTTGAGCTGAGTGCGTGTGTTGGCCCAGGGTGGGCGACATGGGTTTCGAGTTATATTGTCAACATTCCCCTCGCGCGGTTCAAAGAAAAGGGGCTGCTACCATCACTAAATTTGGGAGTGCACCGTACCCTAAGTAGTAAACCAGACTCGTCCCTTGCTGTTTGAATCTGCATCCCAATATCTCAAGCGCTTTACAAGAGTTATATATGGTTCACCCCTATGTCACATTGTATAATCCACCAAGAAGATTGGGTCTTTAACATGGTAGTTATTAATGTAGTAAACCCAAACAGAAACCATCCCGATCACCAACAATGGGTCATAGCGACTATCATCCTCAAATGGTAGGTTCATTGTTGGCTTTACCCCATCTATATCCCATTATGTATCCATTATGTATCCATTATGTATCCATTTTATCCATTATTGTTTACCACATTATTCCCTATAGGCCCTATTATTAACATGTATTAACCATATTATTTTCCACCTCTGACGTTGTTCCGTACGTTTCGTACGCAACAACCGGCGTCTCGAACGGGAGCGGCCGCCAGGCGACACAGGGCGTGTTGCACCGAAAAGCTCTGCAGCTGCTGCGCCAGGAATCTGCGGTCGCGCGCGTACTGCCGAAAGGCGGCGATCTGAAGATATGTCGCGCAGACCTCGACACGTCGTTCGAGAAGTGTGAGTTCATCGAAATGGTGAATCCGAATCCACACCCCCATTTCGCTGGTCATATGGAAATCGTGAATCCCAGATTTTAAGAAAGCTATCCAGATAGATGGAGAATCTTAATTCTTTAATGAATACAGAAAAAAGCAGAAACTAAGATCTACCCTCTGGTAAACGTTTACATAACTATGGAAAATCACCATTTTTAATAGGTAAACCAACTATCAATGGCCATTTTCAATAGCTACCTGAGGTTGGAGGTTTGAAATGACCCTGGCGATCGTCGTTTTCGACATTGGAGCCATCAAGATCAACATGTTTTATCGTTTTTCCATATGGCAGTGGGTCAAAACCAATAGTACCCCTGTAGTTCACATTGTCATCAAAATAGCTGGGATTAATGGATGTTCATCCCCCTAAAAATTGTATTAATAGGTATTGATCCATACCCATATGTTTTCCCATGTTTGTTCCCCATTTTCATAGCCCCAAAGCTACCCCGGGCCCCATCGGCCCTACCCTGCCGCCAAGTCGACACAGGCCGCTGCGATGAAGTAGGTGTCGGGCACCGGTTTGTTGAAAATGGTATTGATTTGCACCGCCAGAAGAACCAGGAAACATGTCAACCACAGGCAGAAACTGAGCTTCGCTAACTGCCTGGAACATTGGATTCTGGTGGAGTCCATTTCTAGCGTGTTCAGCGATGAATTTGTCTAATGAACAGTTGATTATGAGGATACGAACCAAACTGTTTCATCATCTTCAAAGTTGTTCAGTGGAGTCCCTCTTAGAAATGGATTGCAGGACTTTGCGTGGTTTGAGAAGAGGGAAACAAGGTAAAACGGAGTGAATTCATTGTTTTTTTTTTAATATGGATTGAAACTCAAGGTGTTTATTGGGGGCTGAGGGAAGTCTGGTTGAAATCGCTTGAAATCCACCTTGTTGGCGGGACCCGATGTGGATCCTTTATGATTACATATGGCAGTGTGTCAAAACCGATAGTACCCCTGTAGTTCACATCAAAATAGCTGGGATTAATGGATGTTCATCCCACTAAAAATGGTATCAATAGGTATTGATCCATACCTATATGTTGTCCTCAAGTAAACAATCATTGTGTATCGGAAGAATCCATCATTTAACATTAATCTTCCTTTTGAAAACATAAACAAACGGGTCACCTTACTAAGTAAAGCCACCAAAAGGCATTGACCCTTGTTGTTGGTTGCAAACATTCATATCTTGATTCGTGTTCATATCTGGATTACTCACGGTTGCATGGACGAAAAACTCATGTTCCTGCGATAGAGAAGCTAGTCATGGCATAGCTTAGCTACAACAATCATTGGGTTTCGCTGGAATAGATGGAATAACTCGTTCTATCGCGTTCTAGAATCCGTGCTCGGAAGCAACCTTATTTACACAATTGGTTGCTGGTGCGCACAAAATCAGTCCGAAATAATTACATTGGGTTCTGAAGTGGTGTGGTTCTTATTGGGAACAAGGCACAAAAAACTGCTTGGTGGTATACCTACCCCTCTGAAAAATGATGGACTTCGTCAGTTGGAATGATGACATTCCCAACTGAATGGAAAAATAATCCAAATGTTCCAAAGCACCAAGCAGTAGTTTCTTAGTTTCTCATTGATCATCACCATAAAATGGCCCATTATAGTTGTTTTTCCCATCAAAAATATGGTGATTTTCCACACGAAGAAATGTCCCAGAAAACAAAAAAACATGGCCCAGTAGGGAGAAATCAACACCACCATCGCCAGTTGGTTCTAATCCGGGGCCAAGTTCAGCCAGAACAGCCCAAAAATCAGCCAACTTCATTGGCATATGAAAAATTGGAACCACTTCATCCACTGGTTTTTTGGGGATCCCTACCCTCTGGTAATTTAACATAGCTATGGAAAATCACCATGTTTAATGGGAAAATCCACTATTAATGGTCAGTTTCAATAGCTATGTTAAATTACCAGAGGGTAATTTCAGAAAACCCCATGTTTTAACTCCCGAAAAGAAGGGAACTTCTGAAGTCATGGGGGACGACTGCGAGTCGTCATCGTGGTTGTTTCAATTCCTTTGTCGGGATCATCAATGACGACTGCATGATAACTGGGGCCACCAAAACATGACTTCGGAATCCATGTAGTCCCAACTTGATGGCTATAATCCCACGGATTCTCCCCACTTTTTTTGTTGTTTATAGCAGTTAATTATTGGTTGGTGGTTGACCAACCCCTCTGAAAAATATATGAGTTCGTCAGTTGGGATCATGATTATTCCCAACTGAATGGAAAGTCATAATCCATTCATGTTCCAAAGCACCAAACAGATGATATAAATATTACATGATATTACCCCTTCTTTATTTTTCATGGGATTTCCTATGTCAAAACGCCATGTCAGTTCCTATGATTTGACTCCCTGGGATATCTGGGATTTGGCCCAACGTCCCAGGTGCAGTGGAATGAACTGCAGTGGCAGCTCCGTCTTCAGGTCATCTGTCAGAGTGGCTTTCACCAGCGCGCTGATTTCCTGAGGCGAACGAGAGCCCCCCATTTGTAACGTGGGTTTAGAACATGGTTAATATATGGTTAATATATGGTTAATATATGGTTAATATATGGTTAATATATGGTTAATATATGGTTAATATATGGTTAATATATGGTTAATATATGGTTAATATATGGTTAATATATGGTTAATATATGGTTAATATAGTATTACAATATATACTATAGATGGTTATATAGTAATACTATAGTAGCTATATGGTGTATATATATAGTAATACATAACCAAATAACTATAGTAATCAAGTATGGTGTTGTATATACAATGGGTATACTTCGTTGTAATGGTAATATTTTATGGTATTCTGTAGTGGTTTATATCCATTGTATAATAATTACTATGGTGTATTTATAGTATTGTTATGTATTACGATATCTGGTTGGTGGTTTCAACCATCTTAAAAAATATTTGTTCGTCAATGGGAAGGATGACATCCCATATGTTATGGAAATAAGAAATGTTTGAAACCCCCAACCAGCTATTAAATGGTTGTAAGTTGGTTTACAAGCCTATTAGTAGGATCAAGATCTATATTAAGTATAGCAATTTCCCTCGATAAACCCTGGTTAGCCAAGTTGAAAGTCAACAAAAATGTGATTTTCAGTACTAAACCGCAAAGATCCTCAAGCAATTAGGATCATCGGCAACAAGAATAACATGTTGGGCACAAGAACATTTTTGCACAGGAACAAATGTATGTTGTGAAGTTGGTGGGAAATAAAAAAACTCACGATTCACAGGATTTAGATTATGTCTCCCACACCGAACCATCAGTATAATATATAATATATATATATATACTGACCTGTTTTTATGATAGTTGAAAAGGCGGTACTGAATGTATAGGCATCGTTGGACAGAATGGTCACCCACCAGTATTCGCTGCTGGTACGAATCGAGGCATTCTTGAAACGATCACTACAGGACTACAGGTGAATGGGGTACCCCTAGGACACTCTCTAGCATTCTGCAGGAAACTAGTTGAATAGTTGATACTGCTGGAGACGGGAGGTAAGCCCAACTAACACCCAATGGAATTAGCACAAGTTGAAGATTGTCAAAAAAGGAAGACAAACAAAGCCCCAGTAGCTGCAGACAAATTACACTACCTTTCGTTGCATGATAGTGGGACACTGCCCCAGATGAATGGAGCCCAAAGTTTAAATGAATGCGATGGTTGAAAATTGAAATGCTTTGGAAAGTCTTTTGAACTCCCTTGTCAACGCTTTTTGTGGAGACCCAGCCAGTGAGAAAAAACACACACACTAGATGAAGCTACCAGTAGCGACTGCGCTTGTGGAGTTTTGGCGTCGCTGGACCACCCTAAATCGAGCGTTCTAACAGGGAGCGACCGTCACTCCCTGTTAGAACACTCACTACCGGTAGCGACTGCACTTGTGAAGTTTTGGAGTCGCTGGACCACCCTAAATCTTGCGTTCTTCTCAGTACAACCCCAGCGAAAACACAAGATGATCCTTGGGTCGATGATTCCGGTGGCACCCTTAGAACACTCACTACCGGCAGCGAGCGTTCTAACAGGGAGCGACCGTCACTCCCTGTTAGAACACTCACTACCGGTAGCGAGCGTTCTAGTGGAGTTTTTCCGTCGCTGGGGCACCATCAATCTTGCGTTCTTCTCACTAAGACCCCGGCGAAAACACAAGATCATCCCTGGGTCGATGTTCCCTGAGCATCGAATATTGATTACAATCAATCTTTTCAAACGCTGTTTGATTAGGTCTTGAAATCAATATATTATATTGATAAGATTGATTTTGAAATCAATTGGAATTCATACAAAATCTCACCTCAAAATCAACCCATATTTGACAAGAAAAAATCAAAAAAAAACATTCATTTTTGGAGGACAAAAAATCAAACAAATCAATGCAGCTTTGAGGGTTTAAGTGACCTTTTTCAAGGTGCACCACCACCCCAACACTAGTCCCAGTACAGCTGACACACAAACTTTTGGCACCATGCATGAGCTCCTGGACTTTGCCAGCTATTTTGCTATACATACATATATATATATATATATCTATGGAACCTACTCTAAATCCTTTTTCAAGGAAAAGATAGGAGTACCATGGGGCACCAGAAGGGGATTAGGTTCTTTTTCAAAACCTTCCTGTTTCAAGGATTTCCTTTTTCAAGGGGATGTCCATGCTGCTTGAAAGAAGACGGCTGCTCCAGGCCAGCTCTTTTTCAAGAACTATTGCTATCTTTTTCAAGATGCAGGAATTGCAGATAAAATCCAATTCTTTTTCAAGAGATATCTTTTTCAAGATTGGGCCCTGGCAACCTTTTTCAAGGTTATCTTGGGATGGGTAGTGGACAAAGAAGACATGGTCCTTTCTCAAGGATCAATGTTTCTGGCTGCCATATCCATCCCTTCTCTTGTGAGCAAAAAGTGGAGCAACACCCTATACTTAGGTGCTAGTTTAGCACTAATCTTGGTGGAGCTCACTCCAGGACTCACAGAAGAGGCCACTATGGAGATTTTACCTACGAAGTCCTCTGATGAAAATGTCCAATGTGTCTTGGGGTTTAAAAATTTAGAATTTTCAACAAGGTGCTGAAATGTGTGAGACTTCATCACAATGTTGAAATTTTTTCTCCCTTCTTCAAGGGCCCAAGACGACAGATAAGCATATCTGTCTTGGAATTTCTCAGAGAGGCCCATGACCTTCAGCCATTCTGCCTCAGTCAAGAAAGCATCAGCATCATCATACAACTTGATGATTCTGCTGATGGCATCTAAGGCCTGGAGCATTGCCTTCTCTTCCACCAAGTCCATGGTCAAGAGTTCTTTTGCCACTGGGATAAAGGCATGTAAGAAATGCTTTGTCTCTGCTGCCTTGAGATCCAAAGTGGCAAAGGTCTTGTGAGGGTTCTTGATGTCACACAGCATGGACATCCTGAGGTTGGTGATCCTAGTTGAGGAGTTTTGTCTCACATACTCCTTCTGCACATCCTGGAACAAGGCTCCCAGTCTGGCTTCAGGAGAAGTGGACTGATGAACACCAACCCCATCATGCCACAGGAGATAGTGGATCACTCCCCCCAAAAGATGCCCCAGCACTCCTTTACAGAACAAGATATGTAGGCAGTCGCCTCGAACCATCTTTGTGGTCAAGCCTGGTATCACACCAGGGAAAAGTCTGTGGCCACTTTGAGGATGGAGCTGTGCCTCCTCATTTGTGGCCACTTTAAAACTTTGCTTCCCTTTTTCAAGGGTCTTGTACCAGAGCCCCTCAGGAATTGGGTCACTTTGGCAATTGCATTCCCAACAGGGCTTCTTGGAAGCCCAATGAGGCAACTTCAATGCATTGCTAAAGAATTCATGATCCCCTTGAATTGCCCACAGCACCCCTTTCCAGGGTGATGCCAGTGGGGTACCTTATCCAGGGTGATCATTGCCAAAGACAGCCTTGTTTTTTTTCAAAAGGAAGAGAGAAGTGGCCAAACCCTTTCCCTTCTTGCCAAGGCTGTCAAATTCCTTTTTCAAGGACTTGTTTTCCGGCTTTTTCAAGTGGTTCTGGTGCTGATTCCAAGCATTGCTCTTCTCAACACCAGTCATGGAGGAATGGAGAACCATTGCTGCTTGCTCCTCATCACTGTTCTCCTCTGAGGCAGCAGCAATTTTCTCCTTCAGGCTGACTTCCCCCAACTTTTTCAAGTTGGTGGAATTCAGCTGGTTCTTGGGGTTGTCCTTTTTCAAGGAATCTTGACTGAATCCTTTTTCAAGGATGCAGCAGCTGGTCTCTTCATTGCGGTTTTTGAAATTAGTAAATACAAAATCTTTAAGCCAAAACAGCTGCAGACATTTATTTTTGTGGTGTGGTATACCCCATGGTTACATTTTTCATATTTTTAGGAAAAAAAGTGTTTTTATCGGTTTCATGCTATAAAAACAAAAATGGAAAATTGTGTTTTTCACACAATTCTGTTTTTTCCTTTTTTTCCAAACCTTTGTTAACAAAAAACAGAAAAATAAAAAAAATGAAAAAAATGAAAAGTGATGAAAAGTGATGAAAAAGTAGGTTTTCATCACTTTTCATCACTTTTCATCACTTTTCATCACTTTTCATCACTTTTCATTTTTTATTTTATTTTTTGATTTTTCTATGTATTTTGAATATTTTTATGATGGAAATCTAGAAAAACTTGGAGGAATGTAATTTTCTCAACAAATGAATTTTTATTCTTTAACAATAAAATCAATTGTTCATAGCCAGCCAAGGGGAAAACGAACCATTCCTTTCATTCATTTTTGAAAACATTTACAAAAAATCAAAACCATTGCTCAAATATTTTGCCAGGGTCAACTGCATCATGCAGTTGACCCTGGCAAAATATTTAGAAGCAAAAAATGATTTTGTTTTAAAAAAAGAAACAGTATTATATTTTCAAAACAAGTGAAGATACCTTCCACTATTTAAAAAATACAAATTTTGTACAGTTAAAATTTATATGTGTATATCTTCAAAAAACATATTACTACATTTTCCAAAACATTAAAACATATTTTACATTACATGGTATGCAATGTAAATAAAACATGTGACCATATTATAACATATTCAAAACATATTCATACTTTTGTCAAATTTTCAAATCTATTTTTCTTTCACCAAAACAAAATATATATTTCTTACTTAGTAAAATATTAGTATTTTCTTAAAATTTTTGATCAACCAGGAGCTGGCAGCTGCAGCATTTTTTAACAAACATATATAGGTCACCTGGCTTTTACCAGGTTCAGCAGGTCAACCATTTCCTTTTTCAAGGAATGGCTCAACCATGTCCTTTTTCAAGGGCATGATGCAAAAACAAAATTTTGCCTAGTTGGCAAGCATGTCCCTATTTTAAAGGCCATGCTGTTCCTAATCCTTTTTCAAGGACATTGGGCAAATCCTTTCTCAAGGATATTGGCAGCACAATTCTTCCCTCATTTGTACTGCTTCTGCCTTTGTGAGGTGGTCCTTCAGCAAAGCTTCCCAGATCTTGTCAATGACCCAGGAATAATGCACACTCTTTTTGTGGGAAACCTCCACAATCAGCTTCACTTTTTCAAGTGCGTGGTGGGCACCCACCAAATAAGCTCTTTCAGGTTTCTTAGCCATGGTTTTCCTGATCTTTACCCATGGCGGTCTGCCAGCCTTTTTCAAGGCCTTGCCCTTTTTCAAGGGGCTGCTTGTGGCAGGTTTCTTGCTCTTCAAATCCTTTTTCCAGGGTTTGGAGGCTGCTTTTGCCTTTTTCAAGGCAGCTGCAGGCTTCTTGAAGCCCATGGCCTCCTGCAGGTTCACATGCCCCTCATCCTCAGAGGCTTCTCTGGCTGTGCTTTGCTTCTGTCCAAACTTTTTTTGTTCCATATTCTGGGAGGGGAAGCATCAGAAGCCTTGAGTGGACTTGCCAATTCTTTGGGGATGCCCAAAGAATCAACAGAAACATCACTTCTGGTCTTCTTCAGCTTCCTACTCTGCTGCACATCCTTTTTCAAGGTGGCTGCACCCTTTTTCAAGGTCTTTGCACCCTTTTTCAAGGTGGCTGCATCCTTTTCCAAGGTTGCTGCATCCTTTTTCAAGGTTGCTGCATCCTTTTTCAAGGTTGCTGCACCCTGGGCCTTTTTCAAGGCAACTTTGCTCTTGTCAGAAGGCTGGGGTTCATCATCAGGGAGCTGTACCTTTTTCAAGGTATCCTGCACCATGGAATATTCGAGCCCAGTCAAGTTGGTACAAAGTGACTGGTCACCAATACCCCTGCCCAACCTCCTAACATGAAACAGCAAAGTTCCCAGGCGCTCTGTCCTCATCTGGATCCAAACAGAACCCTTGAACTTAGATGTGTTCAGGACAGGCTTCTGCTGGATCATTTGGTACAGAGCCTGCCTAAGTGGGCCAGGGTGAACTTCTGCTGATGGCACCAAGCCAAGCAGGTCATTCACCAGAGGTAGCAGAGCATGCAAGGCTTTTGGGTCCACAGCACTATTTCTGGACACCACCTCATACCCTTTCATGTCTGCTACTAACTCCTCATGCTTGTTGAGGACTTTGAACAGAAGACCAGTGTCGATGTAAGGCTTGGCCTTATGTCTGGCACCTCCTCTGCCCTGGCCACTCATGCTTTTTCAAGCTTGAGCAGGCCAAGCCTTTTTCAAGGCTTTTATTTTCTATACAAACCTTTTCCGTGTAATTCTATACTTTGAGCCAAAAACTGCACTTGCAAACAGAAAAAACAAAATCAAAAAAATCAATCCCAGAAGAGGTAAAAAAAGGGTTTAAAATCAATTGGGAAATCAAACAAAAAATCAATGTTCAGAATCAATGCTATCAAAGAGGGACTTTTCAAAATAATCAAAGTAAACCAATCTTATCAAAATCAATTATTTTTTGATCAAAAATATTGATTGTAATCAATATTCGATGCTCAGGGTTTCCCAACCCTCCCTTAGAACACTCACTACCGGCAGCGAGCGTTCTAACAGGGAGCGACCGTCACTCCCTGTTAGAACACTATTTATCTTAATAGCACCATTTTTTTATACGTTTTGAATCCCCAAATCACTACCGGTAGTGAGCGTTCTAAGGGCTCCACATTGACAGAATTCCCAATTCACTACCGGTAGTGAGCGTTCTAAGGGCTCCCCATTGACAGAATTCCCAATTCACTACCGGTAGCGAGCGTTCTAAGGGCTCCCCATTGACAAAATTCCCAATTCACTACCGGTAGCGAGCGCTCTAAGGGTTCCCAATTCACTACCGGTAGCGAGCGTTCTAAGGGTTTCCAATTAAGGGTTTCCAATTCACTACCGCTAGCGAGCGTTCTAAGGGTTCCCAATTCACTACCGCTAGCGAGCGTTCTAAGAGTTCCCAATTCACTACCGCTAGCGAGCGTTCTAAGGGTTCCCAATTCACTACCGGTAGCGAGCGTTCTAAGGGTTCCCAAGTCACTATCGGTAGCGAGCGTTCTAAGAGTTCCCAATTCACGACCGGTAGCGAGCGTTCTAAGGGTTTCCATTCACTACCGGTAGCGAGCGTTCTAAGGATTCTCAATTCACTATCGGTAGCGCGTGTTTTAAGGGACCCAATTCACTACCGCTAGCGAGCGTTCTAAGATGTTCTAAGGGTGCCCAATTCAGACCAGTAGTGAATGTTGGTGGAGTAACCGTGGTGTCCAAAGATGCAAATATACAGTACCACCTTTTCAACTATCATAAAAGCAGGACAGTATAGATACGTATGTATATACGTATGTATATACGTATGTATATACATGCCTCTAACTGCTGGGCTGGGGCTAACTTGAGACATCTTGGGTCTGTATGTTGGCAACCTACAGCACTTGGAGCCAACAATGTGGGCTTTAAACTGCAGGGCTGGGGCTAACTTGAGGCATCTTGGGTCTGTATGTTGCCAACCTACAGCCCTTGGAGCCAACAATGTGGGCTTTAAATTGCAGGACTGGGGCTAACTTGAGGCATCTTGGGTCTGTATGTTGGCAACCTGCAGCACTTAGAGGTAACAATGTGGCTTTAAACTGCAGGGCTGGTGCCAACTTGAGGCATCTTGGGTCTGTATGTTGGCAACCTACAGCACTTGGAGCCAACAACGTGGGCTTTGAACTGCAGGGCTGGGGCTAACTTGAGCATCTTGGGTCTGTATGGTGGCAACCTACAGCGCTGGGGCTAACTTGAGGCAACTTGGGTCTGTATGTTGGCAAGCTACAGCACTTGGAGCCAACAATGTGGGCTCTAGACTGCAGGGCTGGGGCCAAATTGAGGCATCTTGTGTCTGTATGTTGGCAACCTGCAGCACTTGAAGCCAACAATGTGGGCTTTAAACTGCAGGACTGGGGCTAACTTGAGGCATCTTGGGTCTGTATGTTGGCAACCTACAGCACTTGGAGGCAACAATGTGAGATTTAGACTGCAGGGCTGAGGCTAACTTGAGGCATCTTGGGTCTGTATGTTGGCACCTACAGCACTTCAAAACACCTTAAACTGCAGGGCTGAGGCTAACTTGAGGCATCTTGGGTCTGTATGTTGGCAACCTATAGCACTTGGAGGCAACACGTGATTTTAACTGCAGGGCTGGGGCTAACTTAAGGCATGTTGGGGCTGTATGTTGGCAGCCTTCAGCACTTGGAGCCAACAATGTTGGCTTTAAACTGCAGGACTGGGGCTAACTTGAGGCATCTTGGGTCTGTATGTTGGCAACCTGCAGCACTTGGAGGCAACAATGTTGGCTTTAAACTGCAGGACTGGGGCTAACTTGAGGCATCTTGGGTCTGTATGTTGGCAACCTACAGCACTTGGAGCCAACAATGTGGGCTTTAAACTGCAGGGCTGGGGCTAACTTGAGGCATCTTGGTTCTGTATGTTGGCAACCTGCAGCACTTAGAGGCAACAATGTGACTTTAAACTCTAGGGCTGGGGCTAACTTGAGGCATCTTGGGTCTGTATGTTGGCAACCTACAGCACTTGGAGCCAACAATGTGGGCTTTAAACTGCAGGGCTGGGGCTAACTTGAGGCATCTTGGGTCTGTATGTTGGCAACCTACAGCACTTGGAGCCAACAATGTGGGCTTTAAACTGCAGGGCTGGGGCTAACTTGAGGCATCTTGGGTCTGTATGTTGGCAACCTACAGCACTTGGAGCCAACAATGTGGGCTTTAAACTGCAGGGCTGGGGCTAACTTGAGGCATCTTGGGTCTGTATGTTGGCAACAATGGTAGCACTTGGAGCCAACAATGTGAGATTTAGACTGCAGGGCTGGGGCTAAATTGGTGCATCTTGGGTCTGTATGTTGGCAACCTACAGCACTTGGAGCCAACAATGTGGGCTTTAAACTGCAGGGCTGGGGCTAACTTGAGGCATCTTGGGTCTGTATGTTGGCAACCTACAGCACTTGGAGGCAACAATGTGGGCGTTCAAGTGCAGGGCTGGGGCTAACTTGAGGCATCTTGTGTCTGTATGTTGGCAACCTGCAGCACTTGAAGCCAACAATGTTGGCTTTAAACTGCAGGACTGGGGCTAACTTGAGGCATCTTGGGTCTGTATGTTGGCAACCTACAGCACTTGGAGCCAACAATGTGGGCTTTCAACTGCAGGGCTGGGGCTAACTTGAGGAATCTTGGGTCTGTATGTTGGCAACCTACAGCACTTGGAGCCAACAATGTTGGCTTTAAACTGCAGGACTGGTGCTAACTTGAGGCATCTTGGGTCTGTATGTTGGCAACCTACAGCACTTGGAGCCAACAATGTGGGCTTTAAACTGCAGGACAGGGGCTAACTTGAGCATCTTGGGTCTGTGTGTTGGCAACCTACAGCACGTGGAGCCAACAATGTGGGCTTTCAACTGCAGGGCTGGGGCTAACCTGAGGCATCTCAGGTCTGTATGTTGGCAACCTACAGCACTTGGAGCCAACAATGTGGGCTTTAAACTGCAGGACTGGTGCTAACTTGAGGCATCTTGGGTCTGTATGTTGGCAACCTACAGCACTTGGAGGCAACAATGTTGGCTTTAAACTGCAGGACTGGGGCTAACTTGAGGCATCTTGGGTCTGTATGTTGGCAACCTACAGCCCTTGGAGCCAACAATGTGGGCTTTAAATTGCAGGACTGGGGCTAACTTGAGCATCTAGGGTCTGTGTGTTGGCAATCTACAGCACTTGGAGCCAACAATGTGGGCTTTAAACTGCAGGGCTGGGGCTAACTTGAGGCATCTTGGGTCTGTATGTTGGCAACCTACAGCACTTGGAGCCAACAATGTGGGCTTTAAACTGCAGGACTGGTGCTAACTTGAGGCATCTTGGGTCTGTATGTTGGCAACCTACAGTTGGAGCCAACAATTTAGCCTTTAAACTGGAGGACTGGGGCTAACTTGAGGCATCTTGGGTCTGTATGTTGGCAACCTACAGCACTTGGAGGAAACAATGTGGGCTTTAAACTGCAGGACTGGGGCTAACTTGAGGCATCTTGGGTCTGTAAGCAGGGCTGGGGCTAACTTGAGGCATCTTGGGTCTGTATGTTGGCAACCTACAGCACTTGAGCCAACAATGTGGGCTTTAAACTGCAGGGCCTGGGCTAACTTGAGGCATCTTGGGTCTGTATGTTGGCAACCTACAGCACTTGGAGCCAACAATGTGGGCCTTAAACTGTAGGGCTGGGGCCAACTTGAGGCATCTTGGGTCTGTATGTTGGCAACCTGCAGCACTTGGAGGCAACAATGTGAGCTTTAAACTGCAGGGCTGGGGCTAACTTGATGCATCTTGGGTCTGTATGTTGGCAACCTACAGCACTTGGAGGCAACAATGTGAGATTTAGGTTGCAGGGCTGGGGCTAAATTGAGGCATCTTGGGTCTGTATGTTGGCAACCTACAGCACTTGGAGGAAACAATGTGGGCTTTAAACTGCAGGACTGGGGCTAACTTGAGGCATCTTGGGGCTGTATGTTGGCAACCTACAGCACTTGGAGGCAACAATGTGGGCTTTAAACTGCAGGGCTGGGGCTAACTTGAGGCATCTTGGCTCTGTATGTTGGCAACCTGCAGCACTTAGAGGCAACAATGTGACTTTAAACTCTAGGGCTGGGGCTAACTTGAGGCATCTTGGGTCTGTATGTTGGCAACCTACAGCACTTGGAGCCAACAATGTGGGCTTTAAACTGCAGGGCTGGGGCTAACTTGAGGCATCTCGGGTCTGTATGTTGGCAACCTACAGCACTTGGAGGCAACAATGGTGGCTTTAAACTGCATGGCTGGGGCTAACTTGAGGCATCTTGGGTCTGTATGTTGGCAACCTACAGCACTTGGAGGCAACAATGTGAGATTTAGACTGGCTAAATTGAGGCATCTTGGGTCTGTATGTTGGCAACCTACAGCACCTGGAGCCAACAATGGTGGCTTTAAACTGCAGGGCTGGGGCTAACTTGAGGCATCTTGGGTCTGTATGTTGGCAACCTACAGCACTTGGAGGCAACAATGGTGGCTTTAAACTGCATGGCTGGGGCTAACTTGAGGCATCTTGGGTCTGTATGTTGACAACCTGCAGCACTTAGAGGCAACAATGTGGGCACCACGAACTACAACCAAAAAAACATCAGAATGAGCCCAAACAACATAAATTTCATATTTTAGATGAACATAAGCAATATGAATCAAGAACTGTGTTGGGATGTTGACTTCTTCATTTTTTTGGGTGTAACTTTTATCAAATTTATATATAATAGATGATTTTCCTAGCTATAAACCTCCATGAATAGGGAAGTTCCCAGCAAGCCACATTTGATGACACGGGAGGGCAAATCATCATTAATATCTCATATTAAATTATATAAATGACTATTTCCTGCCAAGTTGCCAGCATGCACCAGAGCCTCTTGAAATACGTGGGACTCCACAGCAACAGGACGCAATCCGACATGGACACAAAAGCGGCGAATGAAGAGACCCCCGCGTGCTTCAATTCCAGATCTGTCTGGTGAACACAAAACCTGAGCTGGCGATTCGATCGTCCCATTCGTATCCATTCGTCCCAACAATGCACCAGGCTACATCTGCAAGGCTCATTGGTGTTTGTTTACATCAACGATTTCTTCATCCCACTTCAAACCAGCTTAAAATGATGCTGAAAAAAAACTGTGGTTTTGATGACTGAAGTTTTGATTGGCGGTTTGAAGTACATCTTTAAACCAACCAAACTGCTAACATCCAACCATTTGAGTTTGGAAGTAGTGTACCCCTAAATCCAATGGTTGGTGATCATTATCCCTATATATCCCTATTAGATGGCTATAATTGGGGGTATACCAGGTATACCCTATTTTCAGACAAACACGTTTTTGGGGATATTAATTACCCAAGCATTGATGGTGGTAAGCCCTCCAAGCGACTTGTCCAAGAAATAGCTGGGCCGTCGCCGTGAAACGCAGGGTGCCACGTGTTGCCACGTAGCCAGAACCAGAAAGAACGAGCTGTAGCCGAAAAGCAAGGCCCAAGGGAAAAAAGCAAAGCCCAACCTCGTGATGAAAATGTAGCTGTCGCATAGGGATGGGAAGGATTTAGCAAAGTTTCTGCGGATGGTTGCGAAATCCGAATCACCAGTTGGTAGATGGTAAACATCCCATGATTATCCCAGTAAAAAAACAGTGTTTCATAGCTACCTATAGTTACCAACTGGTGCAGGATTTTGCAACCATCCACAGTATGATGGTCGAAATTATGGAAATCTATGACTTCAATGACCAGTTGGATCTGATTGGGTTGATGCTTGGCTATGCATCACTGGGATCACAAACAACGCTTAAAAACAGGATTGCATCCCAAGGAAAATCATCTTTCAACTCCAAAAAATGGACCTTTTTGTGGGATATCTGAGGTTAGGCATGCCATGGTCCATGTTCTCATTTTAAATCTATCCCAGCAAAAAATGGGTTATCCAATTGTTGGTCTTGGGGAGTTCATACTCGTGGGTTCACCAAGGTTCACCAAGGTTCACCAAGCTGGTGGAAAACGTCCAAACTCAGTGCCTTTCCCACCACAATGGTTGTCAGGGTTGATCAGCGTTTTCGATAAACCAACTTTGCAATAAATCACGGTATGCCGAAATCATATGAATTGATTTTATAAATCCCATTGGATAGCCATTATACTCCCATGTTTCCGCATGTTTATGCTCTGGTATTTCGAAACATAGCTATTGAAAATGATGATGACAGTTAAATTTCTGATTAAAATGATGATTTTCCAGTTCCTTATTTTAGTTCACCAGAGGCTATCGTAGATGTTCCTCCCTTTTTTCATGTGCCAGCGAGGCGATCCCATCCGACGACCCAAGGGTGGGGAAATGTTTTTCTTCGCAAAAGTGTTAGAGCAAACCATGCGGAAAAAAAAAAAAACATTGTTGTTGGTGAACCCCCCTGTTGCTGTTGCTGTTGCTGTTGCTGTTGTTGTTGTTGCTGTTGCTGTTCTTGTTCTTGTTCTTGTTCTTGCTGTTGCTGTTGCTGTTGCTGTTGTTCTTGTTCTTGTTCTTGTTCTTGCTGTTGCTGTTGCTGTTGCTGTTGCTGTTGTTGTTGCTGTTGTTCTTGTTCTTGTTCTTGTTCTTGCTGTTGCTGTTGCTGCTGCTGCTGTTGTTGTTGTTCTTTATTCAGTTATCCCATTATATCCCTACTGTATCCCTTCTCAAACTCCCCATTCCCATTGTGGGTTTACCCTTCACATCAGGACCAAGCGACTCAGGTAGAACCACCACCGGCAACACCCGCGCACGGCAGAGCACAGTGCACGTGAGGGCGATAGCACTTGAAATCAACATGGCAGGGGTTAAGTTGCCTGCAGAACGGAGGGTTTCTGGGAGGAATGGGGGTGAGTCGGTAGCAAGAACTTTGAATCTTTGGGTATAAAAAACCTCCCTTTGTATCAGTAACTTACAGTATTGGTCATTTTCATGAGTAATTCCATGAATCAATCCATTGAATCACTGGGATTGGCCAAAGAATGGGGACTTCTATGACCAATTTTCCATACACTTTGCCGAACCCAATGAGTTCTCCCAAAATTGAGCGGTTTCAAAAACCCCAGGTGAAACTCCCCAAATCGCAGTTTTTTCCGGCAATGTTAGTTTGATAGATGATTTTGTAGTTAAAACAGCTACATCGACCTGTTGGTTTACAGAAGATATCCACATAACTTGATCCCCCGTCTCATACCATATCGCTCCTATGCACCACTTCAATCCATCCCATACATTTCTTCCACAAGGTTGAAGACCCATGATTGGGATCCAATTTTTTTTGGACAGCAAATCCCGATTAACTGTTCCTGGTTTGTACCCCCATAAAATCCCCACAAACATATCTCCCACATGAGCTTGTTTGTCATTATATAGCATTATAGAAATATCATAATTGATGGTCATGTTTATGTACACTATATTCACCATGACATTCACCATAATTCATATCCACATGTGCCATGGTCGAAACATGGCTTCGATGGACACAACGGGGGAATCCTCATCGGTATTTTTTATATCCCATATATTTTTGCTTGTTTATCCCAGTATATCAAATATCTATAAATATTTCCCATTAAATCCAAATTAATTGCAGATCCCTCTGATATCCCATAAAACATCCCTGTAAACCTAGATGGTGAGCCTTCATTTTCTTTGGTCAAACCATGTCAAACCACCATTTGTCATGGTGAAATCCCCACAGAATCCACCATTTCCTAGTCAAGTCCGGTCCCATTAAATCATCATTGTTCTCAGTTAAAATCCTCATGTCTCATAAAAATCACCATGTTTTCATCATTTTCCCATATTTTTCCCTATGAAACCCCCATGAAAAACGCGGAAAAACAGTGGATTTCACACCTCCCCCTTTGCACGTCAGCGTCTTGGTTTGACAACTTGGAGGATCGCAGCTCCCTCGCGGCCCCACGTAGGATGTGAGCCAGGCTGGTTCCTCCATGGCGAAAAATGGCAGTTGATGGTGAGTTTACCCCGAAAAAAGTCTGACTTCAAAAAGTCGGACCACTGACTTCTAGGGTTCTGACTTTTTTGGTGAGTTGATGAATTTCCATGGTTAATTGATGTTATTTGTTGTCAGTTGAATGCTTTATTTTGCTAAAGTTATGATGAATGGAAGCAGAGTCCTGGATGAAATTATGGCGAGTTTATCGTTAATTTGTGGTGGATCATGCATCATTAATCACTAATCTCCGAATAATCAATCTGCTAGTATGAGCATGTTTTTCTATTGTTTTTTTAAATACATGTCCCAGGAATCATCTCTGATGTAGTCAATCTAATCACAGGCAGAGAATCGAACTACGTATCAGATATCGATATGAACATAATGTATGAGCCATTTCTGTCATTTGTGCTATTTATGCAGGGATATCTCGAGGTTGTTATTGGGCCACTTATCATCCTCGGCAAAGAGCTGTTCAATGTGCATCCCAGGACTAGTCAGAACTGGGGTATAATTCACCATTTATATGGGGACAATGGAGATACAATGGGGATATGATAGCGATATAATGTTGATGTGATGACGATATAATCAACGGTAATTTCAGGATCCTAAAATGGAGATACTGTACCATGTAAGGTCATATGTTGTGGGGATATTCCCGTACATAGGCCTTACATAGGCCTTATATGGTAGGTACCTCCAATTTAGGTTCCTGAAATGACCATTGATATGATGGAAGATGTTGGTTTAGTTGCAACCCATCCAACTATGGAGTTTTTCATACACCCATCCGTAAAGCTAGTGAATTTCAACCCTTTTTTGGGAACTCCACCTTGTGGAAATTGCAGATAAACAATGGACTTTCGCCAATCCCAAACATAACTACCACCAATGAGGACGATGGGGATGACTGAGTAGCTCCGGAATTGATGGGAACGACTACCCTCTGGTAATCAAACATGGGGTGCAGCATCCTCCATTAAGTGTTTTAGAGGATGTTCAATCACCATGTACCAGAGTGTATATTCTGAGCAGATGTCCCTAACAATGTAAGAATCACATAGAAGCACTAGGAAAGTTATTACAGTCGACCCTGGATTAACAAACCTCTAGGCTGTTCGGTGGAGAACCAGGGTTTATCGAAGCTGCCATGGGTTTTATATGGTTTGATGCAAACAGGCTGCCCCCAATTCCAACAAATATCATGTCCTGTGAAATATCATTTCCATTGGTTTTCCATCACTAGATTTCCCTTGCTTTTCCCCTTGGTTTACCCAAGTCTTCTGTGCGTTAAATCACCATTTTGGTTGGTGAACTCACCAGTTTTCCCTTGGTTTTTCCACATTTTTCCGTTGAACTCAGCCGTTTCCGTTTCGTGTAATCCGTGGCGCTTTCCGTTTTGCGCCTCGCAGCAACGCCACGTCTTTCAAGCCCCGAGACAGGCGCGGCGGCGGCGATGGCGTTTCCGGGTTCACCATCAAGTCGTCGTCGCTGCCCGTTCTGGGTGATTTTTGAGGACAAAATGGTGCTGTGATCATGGCCAATCTTAGATAGCCTGCAAAAAATGCTGGGGATGTGAAGACTTGAATGGTGGTTTAATGGGATTTTTCATGGGATTTAATGATGGATTTAATGGGATTTAATGGGATTTAATGATGGATTTAATGGGATTTATTGGGATTTAATGGGATTTAATGATGGATTTAATGATGGATTTAATGGGATTTAATGGGATTTAATGGGATTTAATGGGATTTAATGATGGATTCTTCATTAAACAGTTAACAGTTAATGGGATGTTTTTAAGGTTATATACATCATTGATATCCACCATTAATGGGATGTTTACCCTCTGGTAAACGTTTACGCAACGAACTGGAAAGATCCACCATGCTATGAAAATGGGTAAATCAACGAACTAAATCACCATTTTCCATAGCTTTTTCTATGTTTACATATAACTAAATATATGTTTACCATACCCTGCAAAAGATGACAAAGAAACATAGCTGGTGAACATAGATCCCATACATTCCCATACCAAGTCAGTCGACCAGTCGGGGATGTTCCAGTCGTTTTGGGCATTTCGCGGGGAATTTTTTTCGGACGGCAGGGATTGTTCCGCCTCCAAGATGGGGGAAATTCCCTGCCACAACTCTAACATACGATGGAACATGCAAAAAAGCGATGGTCAATGTGATTTTTCATGGGACTTAACGGACTGAAAATCGAAAATTCACCAAGAAAAAATGATGGTTGTAATGTCAACCCCGGATTAATAAACCATGGGTACTCCCCAAATAGTCATTTCATCTGATACTTTTTTATGGTATCCCCCCAATTATTCCCAACCGTTTTGGGTTTATTCATCCAGGGTTGACATTATTATATATGGATATAGATGGATATAGATGATTTTCTGGGATATTCCTATAAAAAATGGTGATTTTCCATGGCTATGTAACAAATAACCAGATGGTAATCATCTATATATGGGATATACCCTCTGGTAATTTAACATAACTATGGAAAATCACCATTTTTAATGGGAAAATCCACTATTAATATGGTCATTTTCCATAGCTATGTTAAATTACCAGAGGGTATCAGATCATTTCCCCGCCAGGGTAAAACCCCATAGCTTTTCCACATCTCCCGGTGCCCAAGGCCAAGCCAAGGCTCCTGTCGGCATTGTCGTTCTCCAAGCTTTCCTGGGTTCCGAAAAAAGGAAAATCATTGGGAAAATCTGAAGCGGAAAGCCATACCCGGCCTGGTAAACTGTCACATAACTATGGAAAATCACCATTTTTCATGGGTAAATCCACTATTTCGACTGGGCCATTTTCAATAATTAGCTATGTTTACCAGAGGCTATTTTTGTTGACCATGAATGATTTTTTTGTGGAGCTTCATGGATTTTCCGATATTGGACCAATGTTCGTCATAGAATTGACCAAGAAATATGCGGCCATCCGTGGAAGCAACGAACCGAGGGTACGAAGATGGGATGTTCACCCATTACTTTCTCATATATTATGGGTCTCTGAAAATTGGGGCTACTCAAAAAAAAAATGCTAGAATTTGGTGGCTTGTCATTGTGTGATCATAATTTTCCCTATTTAAATGCCAATTTAAGGTCCATCCCACATTTTCCCATATCCCAATCGTCAGGATCAAATAGTTTCAGCCATTTGCTGCCAATCCTCTAGGATCTTCCTTGCGCGCCTCTTGAAAGTCTTAAGAGGCCTTTCTCCTGAGAATAACAACAAATACTTTCAGCAAATAACTAAAGTGAAATTATTTGTCTCACTATTGGGATTCATATCGCAAGTGAATGTTCTAAACCGTTGGAAAGATAATTACCTTTGACCCCAATACATTCCCCCTGTATTCCTGAAATTTGTTTTCAATCGCTAATCCTGCATCCGCAACGACAAGACCGTCCGCAGGTATGGTGTATGTATATATGGTACATTCTATAACTATGTGGGCACAGAGTTGCCACCCCCCCGCCTTTTCATAAAAAAACTTCACTTGTCATATTCCCATTGAAATGCCATAATTTATCTGGTTGGTGGTTTCAACCCCTCTGAAAAATATGAAAGTCAGTTGGGAATATCATTCCCAATATATGCAAAAATAATCCATTCATGTTCCAGTCACCACCAACCAGTTATGGTTTATAGTAGATATATCTATACTATTCCTATGATCCTATGGTTTATTGTCATATTCCCATTGAAATGCCATAATTTATGAGTGATCTGGTGTTTTTCCACCAAAAAATCAACGACCGGACGCCCGGACGCCCTTTATGTGTCGAAGCGCTTCGGCGGAATCGACCACTTCGACCCAGCGCTGCTGCGCCACAAACTCGCCAAGTCTCCATTGGACGGTGCTGGAAATGCTCCAAGTGCTGGTCCTTTAAAAATTCAGAGGCTACCTCCAAGTAAATGGCAGTTTTTCACAAAAAATGATCTAATTTCAATGGGAGGAATGGGTTTTCTCCGTTTTCGATGAAACACAAAGAATGACATGATCAGTTCTGCCCTCTGGTACTTCATATCAGAACATCCTCACCTTTCAACTTCTTCAAATCGGAACATCTATGGGGAAAATCATCCACTATCATAACTCGGATTAGAGCTGCAAGGAAGGGAATAAGTGACGTTTTCCCACAGTCATGGGGGTTTACAATGTCATGGTGGTACCCCCAAATGGATGGTTGATTTCATGGACAATCCCAAGCAGCCCAATGGATGACTGGGGATACTCCTATTTTAGGAAACCTCCAAACGAGCTCAGCAAAGATCCTATCAGTCCTTGCGCAGGACTGAAGGGAACAAATTTTTCTATGAGTCACTTCGGAGTTTTGGCACCAAAATAGCTATGGATGTTTGAACGCATCCGCGATGATCAAGGTTTTTGGACCCAGACATGCGATGTTTGGCCGTGATGCTTGCCATAGATGCATACATTCATAGCGTAGATTTCTTCCATGATCACATATTGATAACATATCCCAGATGCTCCATGGTGCTGGTATATTTACCTACATGACTGGGTGATTTTCTTCGGGCAAATGTTGGAAAAAATATTCCAGCACCATGGTTCGCATATTGACACATTGTACATGGCTTTGTGAGAAAGCCCCCGAATCATGACCGATACTGATGGGTAATAAAATATATCAAGATTTCATGATGGTTATAAAAATATAATTAATTAATGCTTGCTATTGTTATCCGATACTGATTAAGATATGTTTTCAGATTACCCTCTGGTAAACGTTGAACGAACTGGAAAGATCCACCATATAGCTGGGAAAACTTACAAAAAAAATCTATAAATGGCTAAACTGTCCCATTTTTCTATGGAAAGATCCACCATGCTATTCATGGGAAAATCTCCACGAACTTTCGACTACGTCCAGCCCAACGTTGGATCTGGGGAGGCCATGGCAGATACATAACTCCCATGAAACACGATGGTTTATGATACCTAGAAAGCGAACAAGTACTGTATTCATGGGGTGAAAAAATATAAACCAACAAACATTCACATCACTGGGGGGGCGAGCCCTTTTTGTAGGATTAATGAGGTATAATTAATATCATAATCATGATATATGTCATAGTATATAATATCTGCTTGGTGGTACGTATACCTACCCCTCTGAAAAATCATTTTGGGTCAGTTGGGATGACATGACATTCCCAACTGTTTCTGGAAAGTCATCCATTAAAATCCATTAAAATCCATTAAACCACTATAATCCATTCTTCCCAATAAAAGTCATCATCCAGCCATGTTCCCATGTTTTCCTCCGGCTCAGCAACCAGACTATGATCATCCCTTGAAAGAAAAGCTGATCTGGTTGCTGGTGCAAACACACCATCTTAAGAAATATATACATGGTTAATATATGGTTAATATAATCTGTATATATATATATGTATATATATAATATAATCTATATAATCTGGTTGGTGGTTTTATATAATCATCTTAAGAAAAAATATATGAGTGAAAGTCAATGGGTTTCGGATGACATCCCATATATATATATTGGAAAATAATCCGAATGTTTGAAACCACCAACCAGTGATGTTCATGGTCTATTGATCGACAAAAGTAGAACAACCGAGAGCTTTCCTGGATATGTTTTGTCCTCCCATAGTTGTTCTTTTCCACCAAACATCCGACTGAATTAGAATACTTTCCTTAACCTGAAATTTTCCATTTTTGTTGTGTTATATATAACTGTCTGGTTGGTGGTTTCAGCCCCTCTGAAAAATATTAGTCAATGGGGATGATTCTTCCCAATATATGGAAAAATAAAACATGTTTGAAACCACCAACCAGCTGTTGGTTGTTGGTGATTCAAAAAAAAAAACATTAAATATCTATGGAATTCTATGGAAATTTAATGGATGACTTTCCAGAAACAGAACTTAAATGGATTTTAATGGAAATTTAATGGATGACTTTCCCTGATTTTAATGTCATCCATTGGTTTCCCGTGAAATATTAGTGATGCATCAGAAGAAAATCCATCGCCAACGGGTGGCGAACCTAGGAGTTTCTCCGCTTCTTCCACTTGCCCTTGCCTCGCAACAGCCCACGCTGTTGGATTTTTGACATCAAAAAACAACAAGGCCATGGGGTATAAATAAAACCACTTGATGGGTAATATATCTATATATATATATATGGTTGGTGGTTTTAACCATCTTGAAAAATGATGGAGTTCGTCAATGGGAAGGATGACATCCCATATATTATGGAAAATAAAAAATGTTTGAATCCACCAACCAGATATATACATACATATGGTTGATAAATCCATATTGTGGATTATTTTCTGTTAGTTGGAACATATAAGTAATAAGAAAGTGGTAGTGAATTGATTGATAAGAAAATCCCTATGGTACCCCCTCTTAAAGATAGAAAGTGTTAAAATCCAACTAAAATAGTTGCAAATTGAACCTTTTCGGCATCTTTGTCGGGTTGCTTAACTTGTTGATATTAAAACGCCTAACTTAACTAGGTGAAATTATGATACCCTGTTGATGATTGATGTTTAAGCTCAGCTGATGAGAAACCAGCTGATCATGAATATACATATATATATATATGATATATATATATATGATATATATATATATACGTATGTACATATATATATATATACGTATGTACATATATATATATATATTTATATATATGATATCTGCATATATGATCATATATGTAATGTGTATGTAAAATTGGCATATTTCCATGGGGACTTCATGGCGATATCAACAAATACGGGAACTTAAGGTTGGGATTCACCGATTTCATGTTGGCCTATACATCGAATGAATTCATCTAATGTTCACCATGGCCCAAATAAAAATGATCGATTGATTGAAATTATTGAACTATTAATAAAATAGTTATCATATTATCTGTTAATATTGATTTATGATTATCTATTATTAAAATTTATCTAATCATCTAATCATTTATCTAATTATCTAATGATGACTTGTTCTTCTTAATGATTGAAAAACATTTCTTCTACAGTTGACAGGGTGAGGCTCCCGTTTTCGATAAATTGGCATCACTTGGTGAATTCTATGGTTTATTGGGGATATAACTATAGACTTAATGGATGTCAATGTCAATGGAGTGGCTTAAGGGAACATTTACAGGAAAAAAACCATGATCTTCATGGGAAAATCTCTGGTTTTCCTATCGGTTTCCTGTAGACTTTCCCGACTAAACCAATCCATGGGCTTTATACACCAACTTATAACTGTCACCCACTGTATCTTTTGAACCATCCAGTCATGGGGAACACTGTGACAAGTGACCAAGTTTTCTTAGGGAAAGCCACATAGTATGGGAACATCAGGGGATAATTCTCGGAGAATTATGGGGCAACATGGCTCCGGGCATTTTTTTTAGGAATTCCCAAAAAGATGAAACCAACCATGAACAGAATGTTGGAGCGTATCCGCTGGAACATCAAGCGTTTGCTGGTGAAAATCCCATCATTTATAGAACATTGTCCGCTATTTTCCCAGCTAGAAGCCTTCATTTTTGACCATTGATCGTGGAATTCCTCCAAGCTAGCCATGTTTAGAAACCTCCATAGAAACTTCACGGATTAGCCCTGAACATCCCGCCTGGAATATCCAGCAATCACGGCCTTGCAGGAGATTTCTCCCAATTTATGTACCAAAATGGTCAAAGTTGAGATACCCATGGGATTTCATGGGGAAATTTACCCTCTGGTAAACACACAAAAAGCCATGGAAAGATCCACCATGCCATTAATGGGAAAATCAACTATTTCTATGGCCATATTCAATAGCTATGTTAAATTACCAGAGGGTAATGGGGATTGATGGGCAATGGGGATTTCATAGGGATTTCACGGTGCTGATTTAAGCAGATTTAAGCAGAAAAAACACGGTGATTTTTTTTGTCGGAAGTTACTCCCTAGATCTCCCAATCAAACCTAGCCAGTGAAACTCCACCATGGCTAGTTCGATGATTTTCCAATTGAAAACCAAAATTATATACTGATTGGTGATTTCAACCCCTCTGAAAAATATTAGTCAGTTGGGATGATTCTTCCCAATATATTGAAGAAAAAAAGAATGTTTGAAACCACCAACCAGTATAGGATGTTTCAATTGCCATGTTTACTTGGCAAACCATTCAGTTTGGGGATGCGGTCGCCTCTGAAAATTAAGGGGTACTGCAGGAACTTCATCTGTAAGTGGCGATATTTATCGCCACGTTGGAACACCGCGGAGGGCCATCCAATTCTTATCGCACACATTTCTTTGTAGTGAAATTCTAGTTTTTGAGTGATAAAATCAAAATTTTGATGCTTAAACCATCTTATTTTCGATGCTTCAAATCACCATCTTCGCCTTGCAAAATCATTATTATCCTCACTAGAACAAAGAAAATCGCGAATTCCTGAGCAAAATTCCAAAACTTTCCTGACATGGTACCCCAGACCCAGAAGTTTCACCTTGACAAAAATGACCAATGATTTGAATGATTTTAAAGGATGCCCCCAGTCTAGGAAACATCCATGTACTTAAGTTGTATCCCAGTGTTCTCATAAGTTAGTAATATGGCCGTTTGTTGGTTATATAACATTACTGATATAAACCACAATACTGTATGTAATATATATATATATACCTGGAGAACCAAAACCCTAAGAATTCTTCGGGTCAACACAAGAACCTGAAGTATTTCGGAAAAAAAAAGAAAACCTCGGTTTTCGATTGAAGACCTCGGGTATTGATTTTGAACCCGTACTTAACCCGTACCTAACCCGTACCTAACCCGTACTTAACCCGTACTAACCCGTACCTAATCCGTACCTAACCCGTACTTTCAGAATGGGTTAAAATACCCCGGGTTTTGTCAGAAAAGCTCAGGTATTTTTCAAACCCTAAGATTTCTGCAGGTTTTGGTTCTCAAGGTATATATATATATATATATATATACGGGCAAACCCCAGTCTGCCCGCGCCTACGTCGACGACGTCCCCGAAGATCACACGAAACACTGTGTTTTGTAAGACAATATGCACATGTCCGTGATCTTGGCTTTCATCTTGCAACGCACAGCTTAGGTAACCTGTGCCTTGAAATGTTACAACATCGTCATAATCATCATCATCATCATCAGCATCATCATCATCCTGTAAAGATTAACAGGGGTGGGGATCTTATGATTCCCTAGAAACTCTGTTGAAACATGTTGAATAGTCCCTTTGAATGTAAAGTTTAACGGGGTTGGGGATTTTCTGATTCCCTAGAAACTCTGTTGAAACATGTTGAATATTCCCTTTGAATGTAAAGTTTACCACTCCCTTCAATATCCCCATACCCCCGCGAACTGGGGGGTTTGCGCATATATATATATATACTTTATATGTATATATAGCCTCGTGCAGGCTTCTGGAACTACCTAAACCTGAATTAGGTTGGTAAAACTTGTCCATTCCGTGACGAAATTTCGTCGCGGAATTAACAAGTTTCATTAGGGTCATTATCATCATCATCATCATCACATCATCATCAACTGCTGCCGCAAGTTCACATGAATGTTAACATCGAGCCGCAAGTTCACATGAACGTTAACATCCCACCCCACCCCCCCCACCCCGCGTGTGCGTAGCATCAACTGCTGCCGCAAGTTCACATGAACGTGAACATCCTGCCGCAAGTTCACATGAACGTTAACATCCCACCCCACCCCTTTACCCCAAGGTTTAGGTAGTTCCAGAAGCCTGGACGAGCCTATATATACTCTATATATATATTATTATATACATATACATATATTTATCCCAATAATACCCCTGATGAGACACCCTTGTGCTTCCATTCAGGTCCACTAGCCGCACAAGCCGCGCTCGCGCACCTGCCTTTTCAGTGTGGTTTCTTTACAGGTGTACGAGCTGGCCCTGGACCGCTGTGCTGTCGCCACCAAACCACGGATCACCCCACGTCACCAGGCTTCCATCTGCCAAAATCGCAGCAAAGGCACCGCTTGTGGCATAGAGCTGCTGAACGTTGCAAAGCCGATGCCGAACATCTGCAAAACCAAAACGATCTTCGGGTTTTTGAGTCACCGTGCCATCAGCCAAAATCGCAGCAAAAGTCAAGCCTATGGAGCAAATCTGTTGGAAATTCTGCTGGTTGTTGAGTCTCATTGTCGCAGAGCATACAGAGCCCAAAGAAACCACAGCTTCACCACCGAAGGTTGCAGCCAAAACATAACGCGAGGCGCAAACGCGCTGACCGTTCCTGAGCTGCTCGGGAAGTCGCTTTCTACCGCGTTCATCGTCAGCAATAAAGTCTTTAGAACCCCATGCGACCACTTCGTCGTCAGCCAAAATTGCAACAAAAGCCCCAGTTGTAGCATGAATCTCCCGGACCTTCTCGAGCTTAGCCTGCACACTCTTGCAGTCACCACCATATGCTCTGTCGCCCCATGTCACCACACTGTCATCTGACAAGATCGCAGCAAAAGCATGGTCTGTGGCATAGATCCGCTGAACGTTCCTGAGCCACTCCTGAACTCCAGTGCTGTCACCACCACCCTCTCGATTACCCCATGTCACTACGGTTCCATCTGACAAAACTGCAGCAAAGGAATTGTGTGTGGCATGGATGCACTTGACACCTTTAAGCCGACCCTGGACAGCTGTGCTGTCACCACCAAAATCTGGATCGCCCCATGTCACTACGGTTTCATCTGCCATGATTGCAGCAAAAGCCCGCCAAGTAGAATGAAGCTTGCCAACATTCTGCAGCTGATGTCTTACTGGACTACAGTCACCACCATAGTTGGGATCGCCCCATGTAATCACGGAGCCATCAGCCAACATCGCAGCAAAAGCTGCACCTGTGGCGCAAACCTGCAGAACGTAATTGAGCTCAGGCCTGACAGTGGCGCTGTTACCACCTGTGTCGGGGGCACCCCAAGTGACAACCTGACCTTCGACACACCACAGTGCAAAGGCTGACTCTGTTGCAGCTATCTTTGGCTGCTGCGCAACTGCAGCAATGCAGTCTCCATCTTCCAGCCCAGCAACTTGGAGAGATTCCCATCGATTTAGGAGGCGTCCATCACCCCGCGCAAGCCTCAGGAAGCTTTGCCCCAAGGCCTTTTCTGCAGCCACTTTCACGTCAGACACCGTGCCGCTGCTGGCGACCGAGACATCTTCACAGCGACCACTTGGCAAGGAGACCTGGGCAAAAGGCAAAGAATTTCATGGAAATTGTCCAATTTTCTGATCGTAAAATCCTCTTGGAATTGAGTGCCTAAAATTATCTTTTCAAAAAATATGTTTTTGATTGAAACCTCATTTCTGGTGGCTAAATCCCTACCCATTCAGTCGCTTGACCCTCTTTGTTGGTGAAACTCCACTTGTTTCAGGGCCTGAAACTGCACCGTCATATCCTTTGGCAGCGCAGTGTCCTCCTTTCTTGGCCGTTTCTGTTCTGGCTCCAGGCCCAGTACTTGAGGAAAGCATGGCTGCCATGGTGACGAAACAGATGCAGAGACCCAACCAAAACAGTGGAAAAACGCCACCTGCGCGAAAAACGACCATTTCCCCTGCTAAAATCACCTAAAATCACCTCAAAAGCGTCAAACATCATCATTTTGGTTTTAATCAAATACCCATATTTTTTGTCGATGTTTGTTGCTTAAATCGCCATGAAATCATCATTTCTGTCAGCTCAAAAAGGTGAAACATCCCCAGTACCCCCCGTCCGCCGCCGCACCGTGTAGGCCACTGCAGTGGGCGTGACATCGTCACGTCGCATGGAGGAGAGCAGTTCCGAGGCCTCGCGTTATGAGGAATGGTATGGCAACGATTAGGTAACGATGAGGGTAATACCTATAATTTTTCTATGATATAATATAGTGTGTGTATTTAGGTATATTTATAGTGTGTATTATAGATCTATTTATGATATATGATACTATAGGTATATATATATATATGTAATATCTATGTAATACTATATTTATCTATGGTAATATCTATACTATTCTATGTATATATAGTATCTATGGTGTATCTATAGTATACTATATATGGTATCTTATAACTAGGGGGAGCCACATTGTATAGGTAATATTAACAATGCTTCGGCAATATCTCTGGTATATATTTATATATGTGTGTGTGGTATTGGTTTCTACGGTTTATATCGTACGTATATCTATGGTGATTTAAAGATATATTCCACTATATATAATAACCATATAATGGTATATAGTATTCTACCATTATGTTTACATAATGATATGACTATATAATAGTTGATGGTACAGTACCCTCTGAATATGTTGAAAATCCATGGAATCTAATGGCAATATTATTAGGGAAATAATCTATAAACACCGGATTTTCCATAGCTATGGATGGTATTCAGGTTTAATACTTACTGAGAATCTTTTAATAGTATCCAATAGTTATAGGTATATCGTTGTCTATAGTTACTACGATACTTAATGGTATTTGATCTCAGTAGCATAGCTATGGAAACATTGATTAACATAGCTATGAAAGGGGTACTCTCTGGTCACTTAACGTAATTAGCTTTGGAAACTCACCATTGTTTTGTAATTTTAGCTTTAAAAAAAAGTAAATCATCACTTAAATTATTGTTTTGTAAATCTGGGATGTAAATCATAGCTATCTTAAATAATCAGAGAGTTTTTTGATGTTTTTATGAATGGAACTATCTGGGTGCTTTAGCGAGAGTCTGAGCGAAGAAAACCGCAAAAACTCCATCCGTGAAGAGTTTGTGAAGTCCGCAGGCCCTTGGATAGTAAATCACCATGCTATTAATGGGTAAATCCACGAACTAAATCACCATTTTCAATAGCGAACTGTAACAAATTACCAGAGGGTAAAATAAGCCACTTTCTGAAACTGTCAATTTGCTCCACAATATCCTGGAAGATGATGAAGCTGGAATTTCTACACGACTTCTGGTTGGTGGTGCAATAACCATCTTCAACAATATGAGTTCGTCAATGGGAAGGATGACATCCCATATATGAAATGGAAAATAATCCAAATGTTTCAAACCACCAACCCGACTTTTATGTAGAATCGCTTCAAAGGTTCCACCAAATAGTAGATTATAGTCATAAATTATAGTGGAATATTATAGAAACTATATGATACCCCATAATCCCGATAAATTTCTGGACTGTACATAGATCACTAGATGTTTGATTATAGTATAATTCAACTGTAGTATAATTTCTAAACTATAGATAGTGTATCAAAATGGGCACCACCAAAGTTTATAGTTCAGATGGTATAATCCAGTATAATTTCAGAAACGATCCATCTATAGATATCCATTTCTAGTGTTTTATGATCCAAATACTATAGGTCACCATCCATGTCATCATTATAGTACTTGGTGGTCATATAGTACCCATATAGTATGTTTTGGAGTACCATATTTTCAGACAAATACTATAGGTCATCATATTTAGAGTACTAAATACTAGTGTTTGGTGATATGGGTTTGTCTGAAAATATGGTACTCTAATCCATATCATCATTTTCCCAAGTAAATGACTGAAAGTATACCCATTTTCAGACAGACCCATACTCGTTATCAGTGTTAAGCAAGCCATTATTCAAAATATCCCTATACAAACCCTACATAGTTGTTATTTAGTTGCAAATTATAGTTATTTATAATTATTCATCACGAAACAAAAACATTAATAAGTATCATATTTTGTTGTTCTACTGGTGATATGATCATCACAATAAAATACATTTACTGGTGATAATAGATTTTTTCGGTATCTATTTGATGGTGACGATGTAACTCACCAAAAACTGTAAGAATTTGGGTGATGTAAACATCACCACATATAAAAACCATAAACCATTGAGATCACCATATAAACAGTAAATGAACTATACCATCTGGTTATGACTAACATAGCCATGGGAAATCCCTTATAAATTTAGGTTTCTAGCTGTGAAAATCATCTATTTCTATGGGCCATCTATACCATGGCTATGTTAGATAACCAGAGGGTAACTCATATAAATATGTAGTAACAATATTGAACATCACCATTAATAAATCACTTATCACTCGCCATACAAGATCATATAAGTTATATCTTGTATCATCATTGATCACCATAGATATCACCATATAAATCATTAATACACTATTTACCTAATTAGGCATATTTGATATCATCGTCATCATTGACAAATATTTAGTAGCCATATAAATACTGGTTGGTGGTTTCAACCCCTCTGAAAAATATTAGTCACTTGGGATGATTCTTCCCAATGTATGGGAAAATAAATTTCACAACGCCTCCTCGGGCTGTGACGCCACAGATGCCAGCACGGCACCGTAGGTCACCTGTTTTTTGGGGCACCGTCTTCAGGTGGTCCCCTGAAAAAGGAGTCCAAAAATCTGGTAAAACCCGGGAAACTCATGGTTTTACTATGGACAAAGGATGAAGAATAGTGGGAATTTCACGGTGAAAAATGGTGCTTTTGCCAAGCAAAAGTGGAGTCTGATGGATTTTCACCAAAGAAATAAATGTATATATAATTATATATCATACCTATATATATATTATGTGTGTGTCTTCAGTAAATGTGTGAGTTTTTGATGGATGAAACTGAAACTTTAACCGCCACATGTTGGGCACTGGGGCATTTGAAACAGCAGAAATGGGCGGTTGTAACGTGTTGGTAACTGGTGAATGGCACTCCAGTGGGGATATCAACCCTATCAACGATGCGTAGAAACGTCACCAATAGTAGTCGATGCAAAACTGGTCAACAAGAATGATCAAGCTGGATGTGAACATCGCCAACCGATACAGAGGATATCCTGCAGTTCAAGTCATAAGATATGACATGTTTGTTGATATATCAACGTAGTTGCAGAGATTTACCCTCTAGTCGTCATTTAACGTAGCGAGCTGAAAAATAACCATGTTGAATAAGTAAAACATCAGGTTTATCATCGAAGTACATATGGGATGTTCCATAGCGGCTATAGTGGTTGTGGATGACTTCCCTTACTAACCATCTTTCCAGCGACGTCACTTTCAGGGCATTATAATTCATCCAGACTATGTGTATATATATATATACACACATATGTGTGTGATGTTTTATATAGTGTATCATAGTGAATATATTGTTTGAACATCATAATATATCATAATGTTACAACAGACTTTCTATAATATACAAGTACATATGTGTATATATATATATATATCATCCCCATTCAATCACCATTAAACCCCATTAAATCCCATCTACCCTCTGGTAAACTGTCACATAACTATGGAAAATCACCATTTTTTCATGGGAAAATCCACTATTTCTATGGCAGTGTTCAATAGCTTTTTGTATGTTTACCAGGCCGGGTATATCCCATTAATATCTCATTGAATCACTATAAATCCTATTAAATCACTCTCAATCTCCCTATAAAAATGGTGATTTGCACCAGAGGCTACCATTTTGGTTGCCAAAATGGGTTGATCCCCATCCCCCCAGGTCAAGGGATCCTCCGCCGGCTGGATCTCACACTCGCGCAGCTCCTCAGCGGACGCGGCAAAACGTGCAAAGGTTGGATGAATTTTGGGGGGTTAACGAGATAATGAGTAGATATAACCAACAAGTTTGGATATGGGTTATATTTATATATAAGGAATTATACATCCCTATTTTATATGATTAATCCTAATATTTTTCAGGCAATGATCATGGAGAAAAATAAGGATACAATGGCACAACCAACAAGTTTGGATATTTGGATGTACCTCATTCACATCACCAAAATTGTGGGTGTCCAATGGATAAACCTGGGAAATTCGAGGTGAGGCACATCGTGGATGTTCGTGGAGTTTTTGCATTGTTTTTTAAATACAAATTGGTGCTGTTTCTGTTCCAAATTTGATCTTTTTGCGTTTAATGTTAGAGTTGGCAAAAACTTATTTGGTGCTGGTGAAGTGACCATAACCAGAACATACCAGAACCCCGTAATGTTGGTGAAATTAATTATTAATGCAGGCTACTGTTCATTTCGCATGATCATAAGCGTCAGCTACATCAAATCCCCTACCACGGTTGCAATGCATCTCCCACAATATGACAATTTTGTTGACATCGCTAAGTTAACAATTGTTGACATCGCTAGGTTAAGAATTTGTTTAACAATATGGTTCATTCCAATTGATCATTTCCAATACCATTACCATTTTCAATTATATAGATTATTAATATGATATCCCATTATCAATATGATTATTAACTATAATAAACCAATGATAGTAACGAAATGATATGATATGATCATTTTCCCACAGTATGAAAACCAAAGTCTTGTTGCTTCAACTCGCATCGGATTTGGGTGAAGTCCCTGGCAATTCCACGTGGTGAAGTCTTCCATTTCACAGTTGAAATTTCCTATTTTCTCATGATTTTATATACAAAATCAATGGTTTTCCATGTTTTTTCCATGTTTTTCCATGTGTTCCCACGTTTTTCCCATGTTTTTCCAATGTTTTTTCCAACATTTCGACATTGATCACCCAATTTCACTGCTGAAATTCCAACCCCCCGCGCCTCCAAGAACGCCTTGGCACCGTCACGGCGCGCAGAGAGCAGGGCAGTCCAAGTGGCCACGCTGGGCTGGAAGCCTGGGATCGGTGAATTCTGATGGATCATTATAATATCAATTAATATATTGAATATAATGGTAATATGAATCAATAACATTAATAGCATAATTAGGTATATTAGGCAAAATACAATTAGATATATTAGGATAATAATGGGATATCTAAATTAATAACCGTTAATTGTCAGAGTTAATTATAGTTAATAATAATGATAATTATGGGAATTGCAACATTAATAGCAAATAATAATAATAATATTGATATGATCATTATTTATAGTATCAAATAATATGAATTGGCGAACTGATATTATAATGGTAATGGTAATATGAATAAAATGGTATTATTATGAATGGGGAATGATATTTTAATAATGGGAATGATGCCTAATTGTAATGTGCCCCCCCCCCCAGTTATAAGTTGGTTTATAAGCCCCATTAACTATAGTTATAGGTATAATAAACCATAGTTATAGGAGTTATAAACCAACTTAGCTATCTAGGGTGCCCCACATTGTATAATTGGTGAACTGATATTACCTAATAATCTTTTCATTATAATATACCTAATGGGAATGCTAGTGGTAATATAAATAATGGAATGGTAATATTGATAACAATATATTAAAGAGCATAGTATAGTAATAATAATATAGTATCATAATATGACAGTAGTACATATACGGTCAGTCTATGGAAATTGATATGGAATTGATGTGGATCGGAATTTGATCATTATGGTGAATTGGAAATGATTAATTGGAATGAGCCATTATAATGATAATTGGAAGTAATAATCAACCATTATGATTGGAAATTCATCATATCAATTTCTAGAAATTCCATAGCGAGCATCGTAATAGTGGGATAGTGATCATTAATATTAATATCAGTAATAGTGATGAGGATGGATAAATATGGATTAATGAGATTCTCACACATATAATATATGGAATATGGGATTCTGATGTAATAATGGTATTGGAAATGATCAGTTGGAATGAACCATTATAATGATTATTGGAAAGTTATTCCGCCATCAATTCCACAATCGTTGTCACTATAACAGCTTTGAAGTAATATGTTTTGATCGAAATGATACAATGATACTATTGATATTATAGGATGATGGAAATGATAACAATATCATGAGTAACAGCCATGTTGGGAATCGTAATAATTGATATGATATGGTTATTAATGGTTATCAATGGTTCTTAATGGCTATTGCAAAAGGAAATTGCAATATCAGTATAGTGGTATCAGAAATGATCAATCGGAATGAACCATTAAAATGATAATTGGAAGTAATAATTAACCATTATGATTGGAAATATATCGTATCAATGTCATGAACTTCCATAATAGACTGAATATTGGGATAATTCATTAATTCCAATTCCATCAATTCCATTAGTTCCATATTCAATTCCAATCATTGGAATTGAACTCTGATAGTAGTGTCCTTGCAATAGATGGAGATTCATCATATCAATTCCATGATGGAAATTCCATAATGATGATGGAAATGTTGGGAATATGATAATATTATTTGATGGAATAACAATAATTATATTAATATCCATTATTTTCCATCATCATGGAAATGACAATAATATCATTATAATAGCCATGATGGGATTTGACTATGGGAATTAATACGATGAATTCACCTAGACTTCGTGGCTCCCTCATCCTGATCCCCTCCCCAAGTCCTGCCTGCATCCAACATCTCGGCCTGATTTGAACAAAGGACCACTAATGCATCCAATATCTAAAATGACTTAAACGTAAACCTATATAATGATTGATTATTATCTAATAGAATCTATTACGTTTAATGTTTAATAATATTAATTGGTTGGTGGTGCAATTTCACCATCTTGAACAATATGAGTTCGTCAATGGGAAGGATGACATCCCATATATGAAATGGATAATAAAAAATGTTCCAAACCACCAACCAGACAAGTAATACAGTACTAAGGAATATTTAACATATTACATGGCTTATTCATTTATTCTGTCAAATTACATACACGGGAAAAATGAACGTGTAAATTACATGCTTCAACTTCCTGAGTACTCCAGTGGGTTTGTATGGCTTATTCATGCTTATTAGCCATATAATTATCAAATATGATCAGCTATGATCAGCTTATCAGCCATATACGGGATGATTAGAGATGATTATATACGGTGTAATTATTAGCCAGAAAAGCCAGAGGGTAACTTATGATAATAATAAGCCTTGATAAGCCATATAAGCGTCATATCATGGGTACATTTGTTGGGCCACTACATCAGACATGGGGTGACCATGGCGTAACCAGCCAGAACCGGGTGACCAAACTGGATGATCCAGGGTCCTTTTGTGGTTCTTTAATGGTAACACATAGTAACATCACTCAGAGTCATAATGGAAATATTACTTATTTAATGGAAACATCATGGGAATACACTCCATATTTCTGTGATGTAACATTCATCACTCCCCCGAGAGACATAGTAACACTCATATTTGTGATGTTCGATGGGAAACCCAAGTCTTATATAGTCTTATGTCACTTTTGGAGGCATGGGTCAAGATCCCCTCTGTGAAGCAGCCATGACGGAAAAGTCCAATCAAAAATTTATTAGCGAACAGTGTCCACACATTGTGACATGACGGAAACAACTATTTAAGATCCCTAGATGTAGATCCTTGGACTACCCAACAACAAATATGGCAAACCTCCATGACGCATTCCTCCATCTTCCACTCCTCCATTTTGGCCCATGGGCGACCGCGCAAGCAACAACACAGCGCTTCGGAAGTCTTTGCCTCACAGGATCCCCCAGCGAAAGTTGGTGATCTTGAACAATTCAAGTTAGCAATTCTTACGTATGTATGTATGTATGTATGTATGTAGATAGATAGATAGATAGATTGATAGATTGATTGATAGATTGATAGATAGATAGATAGAGAGATACATAGATAGATAGATAGATAGATAGATAGATAGATAGATAGATAGATAGATAGATAGATAGATAGATAAATAGATAGATAGATAGATTGATTGATTGATTGATTGATAGATTGACTGATAGATAGATAGATAGATTGATTGATTGATAGATTGACTGATAGATAGATAGATAGATAGATAGATAGATAGATAGATAGAAAGATAGATAGATTGATTGATAGATTGACTGATAGATAGATAGATAGATAGATTAGATTAGATAAGACAAGATAAGATAAGATAAGGTAAGATAAGAAAGATAGATAGATAGATAAGATAAGATAGGATAAGATAAGATAAGATAAGAAAGATAGATAGATAGATTGATTGATAGATTGACTGATAGATAGATAGATTGATTGATAGATTGATAGATAGATAGATAGATAAATAGATTGATTGATTGATAGATAGATAGATTGATAGATAGATAGATAGAAAGATAGATAGATAAGATAAGATAAGATAAGATAAGAAAGATAGATAGATAAGATGAGATAAGATAAGATAAGATAAGAAAGATAGATAGATAGATTGATAGATTGACTGATAGATAGACAGATAGATAGATAGATTGATAGATAGATAGATAGATAGAGAGATAGATAGATAGATAGATAGATAGACAGATAGATAGATAGATAGACTAATAGATTGACAGACTAATAGACTAATAGATTGATAGATTGATAGATAGATTGATAGAGTGATAGATAGATAGATAGATAGATAGATAGATAGATAGATAGATAGATAGATAGATAGATAGATAGATAGATAGATAGATAGATAGATAGATAGATTGATTGATTGATTGATTGATTGATAGATTTATAGATTGATAGATAGATAGACAGATAGATAGATAGACAGATAGATAGATAGATAGATAGCTGCTGGTGATGTATAAATATATGTTTCTGATTCGTTGTCATTGGATATGACTAGACTAGCAATTCAAAATGAGCAATTCAAAATGAGATAGCCCGCGTTGAGGAAGATTTGCCACATCTAAATTTCCAATCGGGCAAATATCATTTCTCCATGGCGCAAACCAATCGATCAAGTGCAAAATCAGGATCTGAACAGGGTATATTTCATATAGAAATGGGGGAAGGGGTCAACCCATTGACTGAAGGTACAGATAAAGTGAACATGACAAAGTTTTTTTCCCGAACCACGGCCAATCCTGAATAGCAACGGCATTTTTTTTCAAAAATATGTTTGAAGATTCTTAGCTTGCTATGCTCAACTGGATGTGTCAGAATATTGTATTTCCCAAAAAAAATCCAGTGGTTTAGAACATCCATTTGACGGCCAATCACCAGTTGGTTGATCCAGAGTTTTACCGCGGAGTTCCCATATTTTCTTGGCTTAACCTGTTTGGGTACACCATGTTTGATGCTTAGATATCTTAAATTCCTCCAAAAAAAGATAGAACAATTTGAACAGTTTCTATGTATCACTCTTGCATTTTTTCTAGAACATCATGTTCTGGTTGGTGGTTTCAACCCCTCTGAAAAATATGAAAGTCAGTTGGGGTTATTTTTCCCAATATATGGAGAAATAAAAAATGTTCCAAACCACCAAGCAGCGTTTAAGATGAGCCACGCTTTGCCACTGCGGCGATGGCTGTGGTGAAGGCCGCGGAGGACTGCCACGCTGTCGCCGCTTCATGGTGCAACAGGCGCCTGCAACGACGATGGGTATAGGAGGGGGGAACTTTCATATATAGTTACAAACAGATGTGTTATGAGTATGTGATTATATATATTATGTATATATATATATATATTATATATACAGTATATGTATATGTGATATGTGTGTTCATAAATGTATATATATATATATGTTATCTATATCTTATCATACCATGACACAGAATCATCAATATATAATCCCTCTATGTTAAAAAAAAAGGTTTGTCCAACAATGAGGTCTAGCTCAAAGATGTCATTCGGAGAAAATGATGTTCTGAACTCACTTGGATCTTCACCCAAAAAGTCAAACGCTGGTGATGTCGATGTGTTGCTTTAAACCAAACTGAAAGGAAAGAAAGCTGCAAATAAAAAATGGTGTGTCCGAAAATGAGGTATACCTCCGTTTATGGCCATTGTTGCATAGGGAAAGTGGTGAGTTTAACTCCTGGATTTAGGGGTAGCCTATTTTGACACAAACCCAATTAGAACTGATGATTTTGGTCTACCGTATAGCGAAATGATCTTAAAGGCTAGCAGCTATGATTCGTTGGGAAACTACCCCTTGCAACTTGTAAATGGAAGATATTTGCTGAGTTAGACCCATGCTGAGCATGAATCCGGGCTTCAGTTGGATTCTCCGAATCATTTATCCCCCTAACATTCAACAATCGAAATCCTGGTGAAATGTATTGGACTGGGTCCACGAACTTGGTGGTATTTCCACATGATATTGGCTATGTACCCCGACTGCATGCTAATGTTAAACTGTAAACTGTAAACAATGTCGAACCTGCATTTTGGATTCTGAAACCCCTCCTACTAACACGGTTTTGTTTGAAAAATGTGGTATACTCTCGATGGTATATCATCATTTTCCAATCAAAAAAAGGCAATGTTTTTGAGGTATTTTCGAAACACCAGCTGGCCAGTGGTATCAGATCGAACAGAGCGTATTCTCAACATCGAACATCTGGGAACATGCTCATGGGATCGGATGTCCCTGCATCATTGCTGGCCTTCTATCACCATCGTTTCAAGGAGAAAAACCGTTCGTTTCGTGATATAAATGGTTGGCAATTTTCAATGTCCAACATTTTTCATGGTAAAAACCCATTGTTTTCATAAAGTACTGATTTATGTGTATATATATATATATATTTATATATAGACATATATATTTATATATGTATATGTATATATATATGTATATGTATACATATATATACACACATATTTGTATAAATACATATACATATTTGTATATATACATCATATACATATTATATGTTATATACCCATGAGATTAAGTCCCGTATTTTCCACCAGCACTGATCGCCACAGCGCGCCTCACGTGTTGGGTGTCGCTGTTGTCCGCAAAGGCGCGCAGCAGCGAGGTGTACAGATGTGGGTCAGCCACGGGCGCCTGGCAGCTGTGGAATGGATGGTTTAATTCTCTGGTAAACTAACATAGTCATAGTGGTGAATTGGAGCCACTAACCAGTGGTTGGTACCATAGCTATGATTAATAGTACCTAACTGAAAGGAATCCATGGTATTAAGCCATAATCATAGTGGTGGTTAGTAGTTTTAATATATCCGTTCGGTATGATTAATACCAGTGGATTCCTGTAAAAACCTACAAAACACCGCGGATTTTCAGGGAAAATTTTCACCGGAAACCATGGTGTTTTTCCCATGAAATGCTGTGGAATTTTCCGGTGAAAATTGTCCCCAACAAACCAATCCATTGACTCTGGTAAATTAACAGTTTGCTATTGAAAATTGTCATTTATAGTTGATTTACCTATTGAAAATAATTATTTTCCAGTTCGTCATGTTAGTTTACCAGAGGGTAAAGATATGGAAAAAATGGTCTATGGGCTAGTCATGCAAACTCATGGGTTGCTTAATTGTAGTAATTGATCCGTGTACTTATAATCATCAGAGTAGATGGAAGATTGTTCCAGGATCTTTCCCATGATATTCCGTGAGGACTCGGGTTGACATTTCCATGTTTGGTGGTGCCTGATAGTTAGGTAAGTTGGTAAACAAAACTCCAGTAGCGAAAGGGTGCATGATAGACGATAGATGTATCTAGAAATATCTAGAAATAGTTCATCGGGGTCATCAATTTCGGGCAAGAACAGGAACAGGCGCTACTTGCTATATAGAGTCTCAGGAGGTTTTGCGAGCAAAACCTCTCCAAAACATGTACCAAAAAAACAGAAACGCATTATTTTTTCTAAGTTTCAGAAGTGACGTTAGGGACTTTTGGGACGCAATTTTGACGCTTCCTCGTCCTTCACTGGCATGGTGCTTTTCCATCCTGCAGGTGTGCCTCTCGATTCGGGCAAGAACAGGAACAGGCGCTACTTGCTGTAGAGAGTCTCAGGAAGTTTTGTGAGCAAGACCTCTCGAAAAAAATGTACATGCTGCTTCGGTGTGGCGAGGGGTGCTTTTTGGATGCCTCTAGGAGCAGGAGCAGCAGCTGAGGCCTGAAACTGCACTAGGCGCAGCAACAGCAGCAGCCGCGGCGGCTGCAACAGTAGTAGAGCAGGAGGAGAAGCAGTGCTAGCAGGGAAGTGATGCAAAAGGAGCAGAAATTGGAAGCCTGTAGCAGCATCAGGAGCAGCGCAGGGAAGCGATACAAAAGTAGTAGAAATAGACAGATCCAGAACAAACGTTAGACCCCGGGACAAATCATCATTGGGCGGGATCCGTCCTTCAGTGGCACGGTGTTTCGGTGTGAAACCTCTCCAAAATGTATGCAGGTGACCTGCAGGTGTGCTTTTTGATTCGGACAACAGAAACAGGCGCTACTTGCTGTATAGAGTCTCAGGGCTCCTGCCTCATTAAACTTTCACCATTGGCCAATGCGTCAACCTGAATTCGGATCTGTCCACGGCTTCGCCAGCAACAGGTACTCCGATTCACTTGGTCTCTATGTCTTTCACCCGCAGTCCGTGAGTCTTTAGCTTCTGAGTTCTGTTATAGATGGATGCGAGGCTTTCTGCAAACGCACGTTTCTTCTGCGCACAGCCTCCTGGCATCACAGAAATGGTCCACTAACGAAATAGACGAAATATTTCATACAGAAACACTATTAGCCACCATACTGTTGGCCGTGTCAGCATGTGCATTTCACTTGAATTAGTTTAATAAAGAGTGCTGATTTAGCAAAGCAGATTCAGAAGGATACCTCAAAGTCATCCAAAAATAGACCATTTAATCTCTTGCCGGGATAATTTTCCCACAAAATAAACGAAAAAAAGGCCGCCCAAAAAAACACATCACAGTGCAAAGATTCTTGCATTGGTATCATGCACAAACTGTAGACCTTCCATCTGTACCAAGAGAACATTGAAGTTCCACAAAAGAATTCTGTCACCTCAAAATCAAAACTTCCCAGTTTGAACCGTATGCTTACTTCAGTAGACGCCACAAGCCCACGTCAAGCATAAATGCTGTTAACTATTTTCGGCTCCTCACAGCTGTACTCAGTCAGCCAAGGCTCACCGCTTTCTGCACATCACTGTTACTGTCGGTTCATGTCTCTTACTCACATAAACTTTGAAACAGCCAGTCCAGGCCGATCTACAAAAATCCAACCTGTGTCTGGCTCTTCTGTACACCAGCCATTTCACTCGCCTGCGGCCTCTTCCGCTTGCTCTCCATTTCCCTGCCGCCGCATCGTCGAAACATCCATCGTGTAGCTGGCATCGTACAAGAGCACTTTCGGTCCAGCTTCTTCCTGTTCAAACAGGTACCGGCACGCTAGCGCTGTGAACTTGAAACCCCGCACCTATCCAAACTTCTGACATGTCACGCTTGTTTCTCCAATAACAATGACAATGACAGTGACAATAACAAAAACAACAACAATCAGAAGAGGAAGAAGAACAAGCACAAAAATGCGACAACAAGATGTGTGGTAAGATGGTTACAAGCTGCGGTATGACAAGAACATCACACTGTGCTCTGCACCTGCGCTCACGCGCAGAGCACATGAACAACACCAACCCTCACACTAATTACTCTACATAACCCTTATGGCATCGCCGGTGTGCAAAGCTCTACAATATGAATGATGATAATGGCTTTGATATATGAGAAATAATGGGGTGATATAAAACAACAAATAGTGGGGATATCATGGAATATCATGATTGTATCTCGAGAAACACACGCCACAACATGCTTAAAGATTGTGCCAGTTGCAATGGTTTTCACAGAGTTGGGGGAGTTCAACAAGCAAATTGTCTATGCTAAACAGCCAAAATGAGAGGATGAGGATACAACATCGCTTTTAAAATGGGACGTTGACCCTTTCTACAGGATGGGGCCCCCAGTCGATAGCGTTCTGATCCAAAATGTTCAGCCGCTGGGCAAACTACGTGCGTGAAACGTCGTGCGCCCTGCTGTTCGTTTCCCACCTTGGAAACCATGGTGTAAGCTTTGGAGGCGTTTCGAAGGGAGGAGAGCTCCTCCTCCATGGCCTTCTTTGAACGTCGCTCCACGTGCAATTCCTTTCTGGCTATTTGAAAGGCTTGGTCCTTCAACTGCAACCCTTAGAAAAGTGGATGAATTCTAATGGTTTATGGTAGATATAACGAACTATAGGGTATTCATGGGGTTTATACATCAACAAACATATCTGGGGGGGCACCATCCTGTATGGCCATCAGGGCTTCCTTAAATTCTTCGAGACGCCCATGTTGCTGCTATTCCCAGTAGATTCCCAGTCGATTTACCAAAGGGAAAATAGACATCAGGGTCTAGAACTTATCAACCATTCATAAACCCTGATGAACATTAAAAAAAACACGGTGGATTAATCATTCGAAAAATGAAAACTCAGGACTTGTAACTTATCAACCATTCATACAACTATATCTCCCTCTATATAATATATATATATATTGGTTTTGATGAAACCTATGGCCACTATGAAGTTGGAATATCCTATGCAACGCAATCAAACTATGACTAAAATATACCAAGGCAAATTAAATTCCAGTATAATCATCCCCAGAATAGATAGACAAGTGTTCCCAGGGGGTTAGTTCGATTATATTTAATACATCATTTGTTCTTATTTATTTTGGTGGTTGTTATATATATATATGTATATATATATATTGTCAACTATAATTCTCACAATACATGTTTATGGCATATATGGGGATGGGTCGAAACCCTGTACCCTTTGTGAACTCCAAAATCGTTGGCAAATCGTTTGGTTCATCTCCCCAAATATGGTATACCCTTCGATAGTCAAACGTCCAGCGGGAAAATCAACCAGAAATCATGGATTTTCCAGTTGAAACCTCCATTGAGCTCAGGGATTTTCCAGCCATGTTTGATGATAGTATATTCCCAGCCATGAAATCCCCGTGAATCATGAAATCACCATTTTTCTTGGTCAAATCCAATGAAATCTCTATTTGTTGAGGGTAATCTTCTTCATGTTGTCGCAGGCCTTTTCCAATTCCTCCAGCACAGCTAAGGGCGAGCGTCTTGCCATGAGCTGCAGGCGTTGCAGGCGTTGCAGGCGCAGCGTGCCTGTGGAGAACGAAAAACGGGGGAAATCCATATTAGTTCATTCACTATAATTAATTCATGGGATAGATATTGGCAGATATAAAAGTAATACTGGCTGTTTATGGAGGGCTATAAATACTAGTAAGTATAGTTGGTCACTATAATTAACGGAGAACTAGTAGTACTAGTAAATATGTACCACTTCTCATTAATACCATAAGTGCATTTCCAATTGTCAATAGATATAGTTCAGCATAGTTTAGGGGTCCCATATCCCAACTTATGGAGGAGAACTTACCATGGTTATACCCAGTAATAACCTCAATTGCACCCCTTTTCAGTACGTCTATTGCTGGTGAAATCCTATGAACATCCCGATTGATTTTCTATTAATGTCTTTCTTGCCCTCTGAAAATTGACACATTGCCATGAAATAGCACCATTTGTAGATTATTTAAAGGTTTGGGTTTGGTACCATTATATATATATATATTCCATTATTCCAATATTCCAATTAGAAATACTATATTTCCAATATATTTTGGTACCATATATTTCCAATTTGGGTGTGGTATTCCATATATACAAATTTCATTATTCTTTGTTCTGTTCCCATCCCTAAAATTCAGAAAGCTCCGTGCATTCTCCATGAGATTCCGTGATTTTCATTTAAGCCCAGATATGAAAAACTATAACCCACCAAAGAAAATGAAGCCATCATGTTTGGTTGGGTAATATCCAAAACAACTCATTGAAAATCATAGTATTAACATCCATTTTTTTTGGAAATCCCTTTTCCATCCCCATGAAATGTAGAAACTCCATGTGCAAGGTTGGGCCCCATAGCTAGAAAGTTTCATTCGTAATGCAGGGCCATTTTTCAATGGGGATGGATCAAAACATCAGCTGTGGATGGGCCAGCAAAATCCTGCACCAGGCAGGGTAACTATTGGTAACTATTGGCAACATTGTTTTTTTATAGGATTATTTTATGGCATGCTTACCATCTACCAACTGGTGATTCGGATTTCGCTGGCCCATCCAGAGTATTATACCATATATATCGTCCATATATATTTAGTGGGGATGAACATCCATTTCTCCCAGCGATTGAACCGGGCTCGGGTACGGTAACTCAACGGTTCTATAACGTTGGACGCTGGAGTTGGATTCACCCCGATTTTCGGCTGTTTTTATGGTGTAAAAAAAGCAGTGCTCAGCACTGTTTGGAGGTTACCCTCTGGTAAACTAACAGTTTGCAAACTGGAAAATGGCCTAGATGGATAGATGGTTTACCTATTTAAAATGGTGATTTTCTATAGCTATATTAAATTACCAGAGGGTACAGTAATCCCTCTGTAATTCCATTGATGTAGGTAAAACAATGCCATAAACCACCCATGACTGGGAATGGTAACCACACCACCTATCAAAATGGTGATGACTGGGGGATGGTTTATGACATTGTTTTATCCACATTATACTGGTTGGTCAATTAGGATTCCCCATGAATTGTGATAATCCCCCGCAAATGCAATGGTTAGTATTTGCCCTCAACTATAATTAAAACACCCCCTAAACGAAACCATGGTTTAGTAAAGTTTAGTAGGGAAATTCCACATTCCATTGGGACCATTTATGATATTTGTGAACTGTTTAATATGAACGGGGGATGGGATTATAATCCCTCAACTATCATTCTCAACGGAGGTTTGGAACACTCGAAGTGCTACCAACATCCCACCCCGGTCACCCCGGTCACCCCGGTCACGGTGCCACGGGCGCCTCCAGTTGTCTCTGCTGCCGTGTTCAGCAAATGTTCCGCTTCCTGCACCTGACCCTGGGTCGCTTGGCTGCGGAGCACCGCCTGTAAGGCACCTCAGGTGCAAACGGAAGAGGCTGGTTATGTTGGTATGGGTCAAGTCATTAGGTACTTCAATAATTGGATAATACTAAACTAGACATCTGTGGTCCCCTAGGTCTTCCATTTTGACCCGCATCCATATGCTGGAATGATCTATTGGGATGTCAATCATATCATTATTGCCAATGGATTGGTTTTCTTGGGAAAATCTACACCGGAACTTTCTGGTTTTTACCATCAAATTTGATGGGGTTTCCGGTTAAAATTTTCCCATCATCCAATTTTTTGATATTGGGATGTCAATCTTTTTGAAATATATATATATATACATTAAAATTCTTCAAATTTGATTCTAAAATTATGAATGAAATTTCTATTTTGCTGACACAACAAGCCCCGATACCTTTCTAGCAACTCAGAATATCTGAATCCAGGGTTCACCGGCTCTGCGTATCCCCGACTTGGAGCGACTTGGAAGATGTTGGCTTCATGCTCGGTGTATCGGCTTGGATGATGGGGATAGATCATATCATATGAAGATATAACTTACAAAGAATTTTGGGTAAACCACATAAAATGACCAAGACAAGATGTTTCCCAAAAAGGCTGAATTCCCAATGGCAGTGATTTTTAGGGGAGATTCCCAGCCATCCCGCCCATGATGACATCATTACATCAGTATGGCAGGTTGAGATCACCGTTATGGTAAGTTTTACCCCCTCTTAAACAGCCACATAACGAACTGGAAAATTAACACGATGTTTAATGGAAAAGCTCACTACAAATGGGCATTTTCAATAGCTATGTTGGTTTACCAGAGGGTAGTCCCCAATTTGTTGTTTCGAATTTCCACTTACATCATTATGGTTGTTAATTTTTGTATATTTGCAAAAATAAATACAGCTATTCCCCATTTATTCCCCAAGACATCATCATTTGCATCTTTTATCGGGATAAATGATAGCAATGCACCAACCTGAAACTAAAAGAAAAAAATAGTGGGATCATTTCCCTTACGAACCATCATTCTGAGGTCGCAGTGAGGTCGCTATACTTTACCCTCTGGTAAACGAACACAACTATGGAAAATCACAATTTTTAATGGGTAAATCAACTATAAATGGGCCATTTTCAATAGCTATGTTAGTTTACCGGAGGGTACCCACATGTTTCTGATCCCTTTTGGATCCTCGCCGAGCCACGCCAATCGCAGAGCTCATCGCGTTGCAGCCGATGCAGCCATGCCACGGCACGATCTGCGGACCACGAGTGAGAAAGATGATGGTCAATCACCAAAACCCAACAAGGTGTTTTAGATCTTCAGTTGCCTTAAAAAAGTGGCTGAATTAATTATGTTTTATGGTAGATATAACGAACTATATCTGGTTGGCGGTATAACTATACCCATCTGAAAAATATGAGTTCGTCAGTTGGGGTATGAAATTCCCATATATATGGAAAAATAAAAATCCTATTCCAAACCACCAACCAGAACAAGGTGTTTTAGATCTTCAGAGGAGGCACTGAATATGTGTTTGGTCAGCAAAGGCCCAATTGTTTTTTTACCGGGAAAACATGTACCATCCGGGAATCAAACAAGGCAATAGAAACAAGATGTTCCATTGCCACGTTTGATTAGCAGACGGTAAACCAAAAAATATATCCAGCGAAAACGTTGCAAAATGATATTTAGCACCATTTGGCTTACTTCGGGCATATCTCATGATGTCTGGACAAACCCGCAAGGTAAGCCGCCCACCACGTTCTACATGTGTCATCTAACCGGACAATCACGCGATTCACAGGTTTCGAAGATTTTCCCTGTGTGGCCCAATGTCTCTGTTTTGTTATTTGGTGGTTTCCTAAAATGGGGGTACCCCTTTATCGCTGCATGGTTGATTTCATGGAAAATCCCAATCTAAAGTGGATGATGACTGGGGATACCCCTATTTTAGGAAACCCCCATTTGTTCATAATGATGACTCGTTCTACATGGTGCTGCAATACGATGCTTTGGGCCATGAACCCCTTTGCAACAACCAGATGGTACAACCAGTCATGGATACAGAATGGAAATCCCCAACTATATGTATATATAATTATATATATATATTTATATATTTATTTGTTTATTTGTTTATTTATATCCTTCATGGAAATCCCACATAAATCACTGTGAAGCTATCAATACTTGAAAGGTAAATCATATACAATCCAATTATAAAAAGATTAATAATAACATGACTATCCCACAACATTCATATCATTACAATAATCAGATCTCATAAATTTCCATAAATAATCCCATTCTGTCCCAATAATAATGATCCCGTTAATGTTACATTAGCGGCTATTCATTAGTTAATCCCATAAAATCATCACATTCATATGCCACAAATGTTAGTACATTAGTTATTGGAAGATTCAGTGAAAAGATGATATTGGAGATACCCTACATAGTATCATTGTAATTATAATCGTTAAATCCCATCAAAATCCAAAAATAATCCCATGATGTCCCAATGATGATCCATATTTTTAATCCCATGAACATTTGCTGGCTAACTGATGTGCTATTCTCTTACCATTGTGATTCAAATATCATCCAATATCATTGAGCAATGTCCAATGGTGATTACTAATCATCCCATCATAATCCCATTTAGTTTTTTTATTCATATCCTACAGGTGCGGTATTGATAGATAGTTGAACTCCTGGTCCATTAATATCCCATGAATCCCATTGTCGGATTGCATTTGTTATCTAATTCCCATCAATTTCTATAAATAATTCCATTATATCCCAAAAATAGCGATAAACATTAATATTACATCAGTGGCTATTTATTCATATTACTTATCAATACCATGTCTTATTTATGCATTAGTTTTTTATCAATGTCAATATCCATCAAATATTGTGTATATATATATTAATGTATCAATTATTCACCGTGCATAATCCCATAACAAATTCCACATAACCCTTGTGACTAATCCAATCATCCCATTGTGACAACTAACCGTCAGATATGTGAAGATACACAGAGTTATTGGAGGATATCACCCTTCATAGAAAAAATCATGAAAAATCTGAAATATTAACATATCGATTAAGTATAATCCTTCATATCATCCTTCACAGGTTAGTATCCCAGAAGAAACCCAGCAGATCTTCCATTAACAGTAATAGTAAAAAAAACAGTTAGTCATTATTAATAATACAGTCCCATGGTGTTCCCATATATACCATTGGATAATAACAGTGATATAAATATTAGTTCCATTTTCCCATAATAGATATATTTCTCATTTAATAACAGATATAGAAACTTACATTTCTTCCCATTATAAACAGTTGTGGTGGTATATGTGGGAATATATAAATACCGTTGGTTAATAATATCATTAATAATCCCATAAAAATCATCGATGTCATTAACATTAGTATCATTAAAGTATTATTAATATTTATCATCCAAATCTGGGATCATTTTTAATGTCCTAACATGCTGTCCTGCATGTTAAATGTCAATCCCACTTTTTTAATGATAATTAACATCATTTACCCCCTGGTAAACTAACATAACTATGGAAAATCACCATTTTTCATGGGCAAATCAACTATTTCTATAGCCATGGCTTCAATAGCAAACTGTTTGTTTAACAGAGGGTAACCACGGTTACAATGGGTTTAATATGTTACAATCCCCCCATAGGTTGGGATATGGTTCTCCCATAACTATGGTTTTAGTGATTCACTTACAATTAGGATTACAGTAATATCATTATTAAAGTACTATCAATATTCATAATGATATTAATTATAACTATGTTATCCTACAACTATGGTTATAGTGATTCACTTATGATTAACATTAATATCATTATTAAAGTACTATCAATATTCAGAATGATACTTATTGTACCTATATTATCCTATAACTATGGTTATAGTGATTCACTTATATAAAGTACTAGTAATATTCATAATGAACGTAATTGTAACTATATTATCTTTTAACTATGGTTAGAGTGATTCACTTATATTCAATATTAATATCATTACTAAAATACTATTAGTTTTCATAATGATATTAATTAAAACTATGTTATCCTATAACTATGGTTAGAGTGATTCACTTATGATTAAAATTAATATCATTATTACAGTACTATTAACATTCACAATGATATTAATTACAATCAGCCCCTGGGGTCCACTGATAGGTCAGGACATGGGATCCACAGAAAGGGGGGCCCCAGGGGGACCACAAGCAACTAACCAACCAAGCAACCAAGCGGCCAAGCAACCAAGCAACCACCCAGCCACCCAGCCACCCCACCCAGTCACCCAACCAACCAGCCAACCAAGAAACGAACGAACCAACCACCAACCCAACCAAGCAACAAACCAACCAACTCACAAACCAACCAACCAACCAATCAAACAACCATCCAACCGACCAACGAACCAACCAAACAACCAACCAATCAACCAACCAAACAACCAACCAACCGTATATTACTTTTCCATATTACAACTTGCGTTTTTTTTTAAATAAGTCCTTTTATGTTTATCCTTATGTTTTTAATTGTTACTATTACTATTACTATTACCTTTGCTAATTTCATTTTTTAAAAAATTAGTCTGTCAGGCCGCTCTCATGGGTCACGGCCTAGGCGAGGCCGTGCAGATGCGGTATGTTGACCCATGTGAATCCCTGTTAAGCAACCACTATTAAGGGATGGCAGAAGGTCTTGAACATTGCAAGACCAGGGTTTATGGAGACCTCACGGCCGACCACAGCCCATCTATTCAGTATATGGGAGTTAACGGCCAGCATTAGCTAAAGATAAAAGTATATAATAGGGTATGGACTTGTATCCAAATTTGCGTGAAGAGTTTCATAACCGATCAGGGTCCGCTCACATATGAGAAATCGACAATATACATACGATTTGGATTAAATTCCCCATATTCGTCAACATATGGATTGATGACCATAAAACATATGATTTTGAGCCCTTCCCACTAGGCAACCATTCATGGTCACGTTAAAGCTGCACACCCTGGTGAAGTGCCGTCCTGGTGGCGAGAAGCTCCTTCAAGAGATGAACCATGTATAACTATGTAGTCATATATCATCATATGTAGATAGTTGGGTATATGATCTATCATATTCCATCTATTTCTATCTATTCTCTAGTGCCTCATATTTTTTCTACGCCGTTCATGTCATGCTTTCCGATCGTCTATGAAAGTCTTCCCACAAATTTGAACATCCCAATCTCCTGGCTCCCGTGCGTTCAGCTGCAGTCGGGGCAGAGGGCCCTGGGGCGAGAGTTTGTAAGGGATGGGAACAAAGGGGGCGCGTTTGGCTGCTGAGGGCGCTGCAGGGTTGCGGGTTACGGGTGGTGTTTGTGACAAGCCGGGAAGGCGAGCAGCTCCTCCTTGGGGAAGCGGCCCGTCGACAGACCGATGCTGCGTTTCGCTGTTTCGGCCTTGTCTAGCAGGGCCTGGGCGCCCCCTTGGCGCCAGGTTGTGAAGGCTGCTGTCTTGGCCTCTCGGGCTGCGGCTGCAGCTCCAGAACCAATTTCCTCAAGAGATGAGTGCGCAAGAGGCAAGACCCCAAAAATAGCAGGACAGGAAACACTGTGAAAGCACCGCAGTGCAAACGACTCGCTCTTTTCCATTTTCTTATGTTACTACGTTAAATTGCTGGTATAAGTCCAAGCTTCAAAATACATCGTTTGTCTCTTAAATCGATATATAAAGATGACTGTCAGCCACTTCTTCTTGTGGCACCCCATGCACAGGGTCCAACGAGCCAGTTGGCCCTGCCTCTTCCACTTAACCCCTCTGCCTCCGCCCAAAGCGCCACCAGCCTGCAGGGACAGGGAACACAAGGGGGTGACACCTGACCGGGCCTTTCCGCACGCAACTGAGTGAGGTAGGCTTTCCTGACCGGGCGGCTTGGGTTCGCCCGAAGGCCGCGCCTTCCCCTTGTCATGCCGGTCGTTTGACCGGTGCCCGCCCCTTTGCTGCCGGCCGTTTCACCGCAGCTTTTCCAATGCCTACGACCTACCTTCCCAGAAAACTCAAGCAGAACAACAGCTAAGGACAAGAACCAGCATCGGGACAGGAACAGAGACCACCAGACGACAAACCAACGAGGTAGAATTTCAAGGTAGGATTTCTCATGTGGACTCATCAAATAACGGCGCTATGAAAGTAAACGGGTGCCAATGTTTCGCTATTGTTCCGTTGGCCAATGTCAAATGATTCCGTTACATCATTTTTAGGTCACATGGGGTTACTATAGCGCGCTATTATTATAATTATGTCAAATGGCTGATTACTATTACGTTATTATTCAGTCAAATGGTGATTACTTCACGGAATGCTTACGTTACAGGGGTATTCGCATTTCATTATGATCAATGGAAACGGTGGTTATTCTTACGGTGTGATTAGGTCAAGTGGTGATAACTTATTAAATATGGGGGTTTCAATATCTACGGGGTTTGCACAAGCAGGGGTACCAGTGCAAGAGTGCTTGTGTCCGCAATTACCGTCAGCTTTCTCAAGGACCCTAATTCAGCTCTGATGCTTCGATGTGTGGCCTTCATTGATCCCGTCACCAAGAAATGTGCATCCACCGGGCATTGCAGCGTGTAGGATAGCCACTGGCAAACAGACTCCGCATATGATGCATCGCCAAGTTCGACGGGCTGCAAGGCTTGCGGTAGATCGCTACTATAGTCATATTTGCCATGGGAGGGCCATCCTCGATTCAGATAGCAGGCCAAGTCCAAAGCCGAGTACCTCGATTGATCAGGAGACAGCTTCCTCTGTGCGGCGCCCGGGCTGACTACCCGAGTATTAGGCGGCAGGCCAAACAAGGGATCGACCAGGCATCTGGCAGCGTAAACATCCGGTTCCAACTGGCCTGCCTGGATCACCGGCGATGAAGGCTGATCAAAGACCAATCGGTGCATGCGGACATGGAGTGTTCTGAAGGAAATCGCATTGCCAGCGCGAAAAACTTGGAAAGGTCTAGCTGTAGTCCAATTAAATTCAAGACTGTTCAGCTTGTCCACCACCTGCGTGGTGCCGGCATAGTTCCGATGGCGCAGGTCTTCAAAATGCAGTTCAGGATCCAAAGTCTGCTGAGTCAACAGCCTGCACAAACCCTCATCGGACATGCACCTGTGAAAAAGATCTGCAACTAATGATGCTTCCTGCTCACTGACTTCAAGCATGTCGAGCAGGCCATGGTGAATATGCCAAAAAGCATTCACCCTGACCCAGCCTGGCGTGGGCTCATAGGGCATGAACATACCCACGATTCCCAGGCGTTGCTGCCAGAAGTCAGGGTTTTGCAAGAACTCACTGCCCGACGGGTGTGGCACTATCTCACGCTCAACTCCAGGGTGGAGGTTGACTGCAACGCCAGCAGATGTGCGGCCCACACGACCATTGCGCTGTTCCACAGTTGTCCGAGATGGTGCCCCTATAAACAGCATCCCTGAAGATGCAAACAATTCACGCGGGCCAGAGATTGCCAAAGTGGCATTCCTGAACGTCACGCCACGGGAAAGTTCAGTCATGACATATCCCGGACTGGAACTGTCAATGGAAATCCCAGACCACAAGGCTTGGTGTTGGATTTGCATCGTCTCCAGCCGCTCTGACAAGCGATGTACGTCTCGCTTGGCTGCTGACTGCAGGACAAATTGACCTGACATAGCATGGCTGAGGTGTGTCCATAATGCCATCACCAAATCAGTTGAAAACTTGTCATCGATCACGGAGATAGGGAAGGGCCGTTCAACGTCCACAGAATGAAAAGTGCGATTTGGTACACGGAAATGACTCAGAGTGTCAGGGCCATAGGTCGCGCTCACTAGCAAAATTTTCACGGCCGGGCGACGTTGCTTTATGGAGGCAGCGACGAAGATGGATGCTGTCCTCACCAAGTCGGCTTCGTCCACCACGATCAGGTCAATGGCATCGAAAGCACGTTCATCTTGTTGGAGGCGACTCGCACAATGCCCATCTACAGCTGAGATTAACATGCCTTGCTCAGGGTTTGCGTCTGTCCTGTCCAGACGGGCCGTTGGCTGGGAATCTCGTGCTACTCTTGATGGAGACAATACAAGGATGGTGCTGAAGTGCTTGTGAAGTAGAGGCAAAAGGATCTGACCCTTTCCTGTCCCCGTTGGAGCCTTGACAGCCGCACATCCTTCATTGTGCAGCGTGCGTAATATCGCAATCAAAGCACTTTCCCATTTCAAGACCCGTTCGCTGGAGCTGACCGTCAACGTTGGTCGCACTGTGAATTGCACTGCCCCCAATCGTGCTGCTGCTGCAATCGCATAATAAGCGGCCACAAAGACTGCCTGTGGCACAGACAAAATGCACAAGGGCGTAGGTATCAGTGCAGTCAAGACGGTTGCCAGGATCTTGCGATACAAGTTGGCATCTTTCACCACCAGATTCGCGGTGCGAGGGTCGGTGGTCCCTGGCCCCAAGAAGGACAACATTGATATAATAGACCAAAGCCCTGCTGATCCCGCAGTCACAAGTGAGTAAGCACGGACTGCCAAGCCAACAAACCTCATTTTCGCCAGTGACCGTTGCAGATGCCCGAGCAGCAAAGTAATGCTCAAAAGCAATTGAGCCTTCCCGGCATACATCGATTGTGCCAACACAGGTGGAGGCTCATTGAATGATTTCACCCAGAAGCTGACGGGGCGGCAAACTGAACCAAAGACGCTCTGAGCACAGTGTTGCTCGAATTGAGGAAGTGTGTCAGGATGGGTCGTCAAATAGATATGATGCTCAGTGACCGCCTCAGTCATGTATAGTGCATCTCTGCTGGCTAGTGTCAAACGCTCAGCTGCAAGCTTTTCGGTCGCTAGAGTGCGTAGCACTGCTAGACCGTTTGCCAAACCATGAGCCAATTGCTCTTCCCACAAGGTCCAGAACTCCACAGGGTCATCGCAGACATAACGCTGTGTGGGATGGGCTTTGGAACTGAGGTAGAATCGTCTCAGGATGTCTAATCGTTTGGGAACAGGCCTTGCACGCATGAATGCCCGTGCAGAAGGGCCCAATCGTTTCCATTCCCTTCTGAGCTCACGCAAGTGCTTCACAGCAAGATTGAACCTTTCCTCACTTGCGAAACAAGATTCAGCGTGACTTCGCAGCGACTCATGATAGCCTTTCCAATTCCGGGCAGTGGATACTGTATACCTCATATCCAGTTTGGGCTCATCCCTCTTCCAGCCACGTGATGGATAATGCGGGGAGTCAGGGAATAAGCCGGCCTTCATCAAGTCAGCGCGAATTTCAGGCTCCGCTGTCACCCTCCACCCACGCACGGGCAAGCCTGTCCAATTTTGATCCGGTGTGTCAGACTCACGGATCCACTCCAATTTCGGACGTATGCCCCATCTTGTCTGACACATGTCGAACCAGCGTTCTGTATTGATGGGATGGAGGAATGAATGTATTGTGTCGTCACCATCGTACAGCCCCTTCAGATCACTATAAATCACTATAAATCACATTAAATCACTATAATTCAAGTACTAATGTCCTAACATTTTCTACATTTCATCGCCTGCATCTCCTTTGGCCGCGCATCCATCCAGAAGCGCGCCGTAGCCGCAAATCTCCAGTGCCACTGAGGCGCGCTCCGCGCGCCGCAGCACGGACCTCGAAAAAGGCCGAGGGTCAACGGGAAAAATGGGGAGAGTTATGGTGGGAAAAATGGTGGAAAATTATGGTGGATTTTGGGATTTCAAAGGGATTTCGGGATTTTGATAGAATTGAATGGGATTTCATAGGGATTTCATTGGGATTCATGAGTTTTCTTTGGGCTTTAACTTCATCTAACCTGTGCGAACATGTTTAATTTAAACCACAAAGACGGGAAAGAAAATTGGAAAGTAGATGTCAAGCTCCCTAGTTACAGCAGCATATGTGGCAAGCTCGCCGTGCGTTGTTGGTCGGTGAATCAATTCAAGACCACCCCCCAAGAGCCATAGTTCCAAAGAGGATGGTCACCCCCAGATATGTTTGTTGATTTATAAACCCAAAAAAAAATAGTTCGTTGTATCTACCATAAACATCCATAAACCATAGTTAATTCAGGCACTTTTCTAAGGCAACTGAACGCACCCATCCTGTAGTTATAGTTCTCTGGCCTGCACCCGCAAGGGCTAAAAAATACAGTGAATATCCCCACAATTTTCTGCCAAAGAAAATGCCAAACAGTATCTCCATTTTAGGGTCATAACATTCCTGTTATAGTTATAGATACTTATGAACGTAACTATTCAAGTATTGTATAGATTTCCATAGCTATAGTAACTATAATAAATTGTAACTACTGTATAAACCTGCTGCAGCTATGCTAAGCATCACAATTTAGGCACCAAGTCCCTGGGGTGTTCCCCAGTCCTCTTGGCCAGCGCCATCTCCACGTTCGAACGTGGTGCCCACTGCGTGGTTGGAGACCATCCCCCAAGATGTCTTTAAACAACCCATGTAACTTGACCGTGACACACTCTGGTAATTTAACACAGCTATGGAAAATCACCATTTTTAATGGGTAAATCCACTATAAATGGCAATTTTCAATAGCTATGTTAGTTTACCAGAGGGTATATATATATAACTAAATGCCTGCCGTAGTTATGCTTCTTATGTAATTGCAAGTGCAGTTCCAGTTATAGGAGAACCATCCAAACTTATGGGGGGATAACAGAAAATTCCAGGCCATTGCAACTGCGACTATAGCATGTTATAGCCATCTTTTTCCACCAAAAAACCGCTATCCTCTGGTAATTTGTTACAGCTTGCTATTGAACATGGCCCATTTATATAGAGTTGATTTAACCATGAAAAATGGTGATGTTCCATACTTATGTTAGTTTACCAGAGGGTCCCATCCACTTTTTTTCACCAAGCCACTCTGCCACCAAGGGCCCTCCGCTGTTGACATCCTGCGCGGCAGCCGTCAGTAGCTTGCTGTAGCCCTTGCTGCTGCGGAGTGCCCTGGGGATGTGCGTGAACCAGGCCTGCGAGGCCAGGCGAGGGATCATGGAGGTAATTTGGTGAGGTATTGGCTGGGATATATATCTGTGACATATCTATACATATATATATATATACATACATACATATTATATATTATGTAATGTGTCTGTGTGTGATGTAATGTAAATTAATGTACATGTACATACATATCTGATATATATATATAATATATAATTATATACAATTATATGTATATATATATGATTTTAAAAATAATAATATATTTATATGTACATGTCTTGGTCAGGCTGGTGCCATGACGCAGCTTCCACCCTCAGCAACTCAGCAGCCTTCTTGATGATTGCTATGGTTAAATTCCACTGCGAGATGATATATGGACGCTGTTTGTTACAACATTGGGATACAGTCACAAGTACTTGTGGCATACCCTCTGGTAAACTATCCCATAGCTATGGAAAATCATGATTTGAATAGGTAAATCACCAATAAATGGCCCGTTTTCCATAGCAAACTGTTAGTTTACCAGGCCGGGTACCCTCTTGTTATTTCAAATCCCCTTTCTGTAGCGGTTTTAATGGGAAAAACCATGGGGAAATTCATCTATAAATGGAGAAAATTCAGAGGGTAACCCTTCACAGTGATTGCATGTGATGGCTCGCCTGGGTGATGGCGCACCTCAGTTGCCGAAAATGTTGGAGATAAAGTCACGTGTCGGACTTACTAAAAAACGCGAATCTGTAAAAGGGCAGTCCATTCCACTTCGGAACATCGGAACGTTTCCCTGACTGTAACCTAGCATGACCTATCTATAGTTTGATGGGTGAGAATAAACCAACTTATATTTGGGGGACACCGCGCACAGATCAACAAAAGAATCCATAAACTTTTGGTCTTTGCCGTAATAAGTCGAGAAAGAAATCCAGTCCATTGGGAGAGCGGCCAAAAGTTGACAAATGGTCCATGTTCATCGGCTATATCGTGATATATGAAGTCTACCCATAAGTGGTCTCTTGTGCAAGCCTGTCATTAAGATGATACCACCACACACCACCCCAAATTCCAACCCCAAAGTGACATGGCAGCTCAACACAACCAAACAAACTTATTTCTTCCTGTGGAAGAATTCTCCAGAAATATCAAAATGCCAGTAGGTCATTTTTGGATTCACAAATAGGATGCTTCTCAGCCCCTTGCTGTACCCCAAACAATTGTCGCAGTTGCATGAACAAAAAATACAACTGTTGCATGATTTCGGCACAAACCCCTTTTTTGGGGATGAAAAATGATGAAACCGATAAAGATCGATCCATCCAAAAGTAGCAGTTTACCATCCGTTGAAGCGCAAGCAGCCGCATCTTCGAGCGGCGAAACCTTCATTTTTTTCGCTTTTAAAGCTCCATTCCTGTTGCTTAAACACCCAAAGATGTGGCTTTAACACCCAAAGATGTGGCTTAAACAGCTATTTTTCGACATTTTTCGATGTTTTTACTGATTCTTTTGGCCCACTTTTGACGGCCCACCCGCCTCTGCACTTGGCCAGTCCTTTGCAGTGACCTCGAAAAAATGATCCAATCACTCAACAAAAATGGGATTTACAGATCTACAAACACCACACAAAAAACACATAAAACACCATATATCTATATACAAACATATGGTAACATGGTATTTAATGGTGGTTTGATGGTGGTTTAATGGGATTTAATGGTGGTTTAATGGGATTTAATGGTGGTTTAATGGGATTTAATGGGATTTAATGGGTATCCTCTGGTAAACTAACATAACGATGGAAAATGGATCATTTATGTGATTTACCTATTCAAATACTGATTTTATGCCCATTTATGTTATGTATTTCCCATTGATAAAAGTTTGATTACCCTCTGGTAAACGTTTAAATAACGAACTGGAAAGATCCACCATTTTCAATGGGTAAATCCACTATTTCGACTGGGCCATTTTCTATAGCTATGTTAAATTACCAGAGGGTGTATGAGATGTATATGAAATTTATATAATGTTTAGAATGACTGGTACTTATATGATTGAATGATATTGAATGATCACTTAAGAGTAATTTGATGACTATAAATGACGACTGTAAATTATGATATTGATTATAATTAACAAGTGATTTGAGTATAAATGAGTATCTATCAAAAACTATCATTACCTTGAGTGTTTTGGAATTATATGGACAATGATGATTATTAAATGAGCAATAATTGACATAAGTATCCATTGATATGAATAATGATCCATGGTTTTTTATGCGATTGAAATGATGATTAATTATCATATAACCAACAGAGGTAAAACAAGATTAATAATCCAAAATTGCCCACTGTTAAAATAAATGTTGGGTAATGATCAGTATTAACCAACAATGGGAATATACTAATATGGATATGTTTGACCGACAATAGTAATGAATAATTCATGGATTATGATCAGCTACCACATTTGCGGCGACGAAATGCTAATAGTCCCACTACCCTAATAGTGAGTACACCCTAAATGGTCCTCAAGCATGTGTAAATCCCCTACGTTAACCATGGTTTCTGAGGGTTGTTATATATGAGGAGGAAGCGATTAGCGACTATGGGAAATAGACTGTAATGATCCCTTGAAAATGGGATGCACGGAATGATGACCCACTTTTCCAGTAACCCAAAAACAATAGAAACGCAATCGATCACTATGTTTGTCGGATTTTAGAGTTTCTATCTTTTTCGGGGGCAACTGTGAACAAACATAATTTCAATTTCAGCAAGTTGAAATTCTTGAATGGGGTTTAATAGGCTAATTCATGGAAGAAGTATGACCAAATGAAGAGCTGAAGATATGTCCAACGAACCAACAGGTTTTTCAGCAAATGGTAAAGGATTGCATCGCTGTCTGTGCCATGTGCTGCCCACAGCTGAAAGCGGCTACCATCCTGGCACTGATGCCTCTGACAATGCGGATCCTTGCAGTGAACTCAGCACATTGCTGGCACCTGGGGTGAACCACTCGAGGTGCGAGGCGCATCAGCTAGAAATGGCACCTAGAAATCTTGCCATTGGACTTGTGACTACATCATGATGCAAAGGCACCGGGTCTTCATCCCACCCCAAGTTGTTTGAACACCCCTTAGATTGGTCCCAAAGATGTGTAGATCCCTTGCTAAACCATACTTATCCATGGATTCTGATCAAGACCAAACCACCCTTGATTTTTTCCATCACTCCTCCATGCTGGAGGAATTGCGTTCCACAGAAAAAACTCACCGCTCTCCGGCTGTTGATATACATGTATCTTCGATTGGCAAGAGTATTTATTACTTAACAACACTTATAAGCAAATTACTGACAGGTACTAATAGATATAATTTCCATCCAATTCGAGTGTTGGTTTGCTGTTAGTAAATTGATGTCCGCTGCTAATTGAATTCCCATCTTGGATCGTTGTACTATCTCATTCTCTATGTATGATTATACACAGTACGGAGTACGCAGCACATATGTACTTCTGTAATTATTGGCTGCATTGGCCAGTGATCGAAAATAAATAGAACAACAAATGAAAAATCAAGCACTAAAATGTTAGGGACTATGTGTTCTACCATGTTTGATGATGATGATGCCCTGGAAAAGAAAAAACATGGTCCTGATTCAGTCCGAAAACAATATTATTAATCAATATTCCGCGGTTTATGATACCACGAGATATTATGAATATCCAATCAGCAATCCTTCAATCTACATGCTCAACAAATAGACAGTGTGCTTTAAAGTCAAACATTCCCCATTTGGGTCCCCCAACAATTCACCAAATCATTCCCCTTCATAGTTCCCATGGTTCCAGCATAGAAGTGCAACTATATAAGTGGATATATCACCATACTTATACAATGTGTATATCCATATATATATATTATAACCTATATAAAAATTATATATATATATATATGTATAGTTGTATCCCAAGTTGTGGGGGTTTACATACCATGGGATTACAGTTGCAAGCGTGTTTTTTTCCAGCCCAAGTGGGCCATGGTGTTCCCACTGGGTCATCCGCACACAAGCTTTCAGCACCAAATTCCACAAGAACGGCTTCTGGAAGCGTCGCTGCGGCCCCACTCCTGGTGAAGGGCTGGGAATTCAACAAAAAAATGATGAAAAATGGGTGGTGACTGGCTTATTCATCAGCCATGTTAAGGATGGTTCGTCCCAAAAAACTGGGATTTCACCCTTTGAAACCAAAAAAACTACCCTTTGAAACCAAAAAACTGGCATTTCACCCTTTGAAACCTCCCATCTGTAAATGGATGGAACCCCTCCACAAATCAAACGTGGCTGCAAAATCGACCGCGCGATCGCGCGGCCAAGTTTGATGACACCGGAGAGTGGCCCCGGTGGAGATCGGCAGAGATATCCCTTGGGCCCTTGCTTCATCATCTGGTTGTATGCAAAGGGTGTCTGCATCCATCATGCTTGGGAAATTCCGAAAAAAATAAATCATCCTCATTCTTGAGGCGAAATCTCATGTCTGAAGCATATTCATGATATTCCCAGTATTGTCAGGCAAACTCTCCCACTGTTTCGCCCGTTCTAGACTTTTTAGCGGTTGTGTCCGATGTTCAAACCGTTATTCAATCGCCTAAAGCGTCCGATGTCGCGATGGCTGGTTTGGCGCGTCAATCTCTGCCGGAAATATCTGTCCATTGGGACGTTTTCTGTGAAAGGTATGGGATAATTCCCAGAAAAACACCAGAATCTCAGATGGCTACCCGGCCTGGTAAACAGCCACAGTTCACGAACTGGAAAGATCCACCATGCTATTCATGGGAAAACTCCACGATTTCGACGGGGCCATGGCTTCTATGTCGCAAACTGTAAACGTTTACCAGAGGGTATAAAACTCCCAACGTGGTGACAGATTGGTTGGTACTGGGAGTTGCTCTCCAGGAACAAGAAATCAGATTCCCATCAGCAAATCCAAGAAATATCAGCTTTACCATTCACCACTACTAGTCACTATTCACAGTAATATACATGCATTATATTAACCATGAGTGATATTAATGTATAGTAATATATACATATATAAACCACTATATTATATACTATTATCCATTATATCTATAGTCTATGCATATTAACCACTTAATCTGGTTGGTGATTTTATATAACCATCTTGAAAAATATTAGTCAATGGGAAGGATTATCCCATATATATATATCCATATATTGTGGAAAATAAAAATGTTCCAAACCACCAACCAGTAAGTCATGATATTCCATATCCCATAATATTGATGGTTAAACAATTGGTGATAATCATCCATTATATCTACATATATATTAACCACTATATTATATAATATTATCCATTATATCTATACATACGTATATTAACCACTTTATTACTATCATCCACTATATCTATACATACTCATATATAATATCTATACATACTATATCATCTATATCTATATTAATCTATACCTATATTAACCACAACTAATTTCTTACGTCTTTATCCATTCATATCCATGAAACAAAGGCCATCAAAGGCCTACATAACCATCGAGTCGTCTCCTTGGAGCTTCTCGAAAATCTCTTTTGCCTCGGCTGGCGATTCATCCATGGCTAGGAAGTCACGGGACCATGGGGACAACCCGTTGGAAAAAAACGGGAAAAAATTGCTGGATTTGATCCCCCAGTTCTTCAGATTTTCCGAGAAAATTCAGTTTACCCCGTATCTTTTCCAAATATCGCATGAAATCCCCATAAAATCCTGATCATCATGCCCACATGAATCATGCTGAAATCACATCCTACCATCAGGAAAAAACCTGCCATCCTACCATCATCTACCATCCCCCAACTAACCAGCAATTCGAGCCATGGGTCGATGTTAGGGGATGGTCATCATCACAGTGATCCGAAAAATCCCCATTGTCACCAGTATATCCCACTGATATCATACGAAATATGCTCCGAATCCCATATGACAAAAAAAAAATGTTTTCTCACTGGTAAGATCAGCAATAAGAAGTCATGATATGCAAAATATCCCATAATATTGATGGTTAAACAATTGGTGATAATTATCCTGTAATATCAATTTCCCAAGTGTTTCCCAAATATATCCCCATAAAATGCTATACATCCCATTTTATTCCCGTCATTTCATGGCTAAATCCCATACTTATCCCATACTAATCCCAAATGTTGATAGTTCAATTCAGTTCAATCCCAAATGTTCATGGTGATTAAATGTGATTAACTCCAATAATTATCCCATAAATCCAATACTTAGGAAGAAATTATGGGATCATCCCCAAATTTTAGGCTTAATTATCCCATAAATTATCCCAACTTTGATATTTATCCCAATCATATCCATGATTTATCCCATAAATATCCGTTCTTCAATCCCATAAATCCAACACTTATCCCCAATTTTCATGTGATTCTCCCCAAATTGTCCCACGGAACCATGGAATCGAATCCCCCAGCTCCACCGATTCTCGTCACGCACTGCACCTCGCGCACCTGGCCACTCTCGGAGGCTTTGATCAACGAGGCCAGGAGGCCCTGGCACTCGAAGACTGGTTGGTGGTTTATAATCTATAGAATGGTTAATGGTTAATAGTTATAATGTTTTTTTAATGTTATATATCGTTAACAATGGTTAATGGTTTTTCTGATGGTTTTGACACTCTATAATCTATATATATATATAATTATATATGGTTTATAATGGTTAACAATGGTTAATGGTGGTTAATGGATGGTTAATGAATGGTTATTATTTCATGTTATATGTATTGGATGATTTTCAGGGTCAAACTGTTACCCTCTGGTAAACAGCCACATAACGATCAAAACGAACTGGAAAATCACCATTTTCAATGGGTAAATCCACTATAAATGTGGTATGTTCAATAGCTATGTTAAATTACCAGAGGGTAATTTACCAGAAGGTGTATATACATAAATAAATATACAATTATATACATATATTCTGTATTTTTTTGCGTTTTGGGCACTGATATCTAACCTGTATAGGATATAACTATGGTTGTTGGCACATAACTATGGTCTTAAATATGACTAACTATGGTAGGATATGACTATTTATGGTTGGTACACAACTATTTATAGTGTAGGATATGACTAACTGTTGGACTGTTGGCACATAACTACAGCTAGTGTAGGATATGACTCACTATGGTCGATGGTCTTTAAATATCCACTATAAATGATCCAGTAAAAAAGTAAATACATATGTACAGAATGATCCATGAGTATGGATCAAAATTAAAGACCTGCAGAAACCACAAATTTAAGTCTATGTTTAGTATTAACCATCCAATTATTGGGGTACCCAATCCAATTTCGACCCACATTAATAGAATATTTTCCCATTGGAGTAAACACAAACGTTATTAAGGGACGTGAGAAACGATGACAACTTCTATGAAACGAAGTTGTAAGTTCTCTGGAATCGTGACAACCCCTATGAAACTCCATGTTGATAAAAACAAGATAAAAGCCAAGTAAGATGGACCTGATATGTTGCAAAGACCGACCCTGTATATAAAAGATACTCGAATAAACCCTACGGGGTTATATGTGTAGAAATCGAAATTAGACTTATATCATCTTATATCTATGGATCGCATTCTACTTTTCTACAAAGTAGCCTAAGGAATCTACTCATTTCATTGAGATATTTTCGGCCATTGAGGTGCCGACCCAACTTTGTCAATCCCAGTGATCAACTTATCAACCATTGAATGGGAGTTTGCTTTACATCATACCAAATAGGGGTAATGGTGTTAAAACAATGCCATAAACCACCCCATGTTTGATGGTTTATACCACCCATAAAAATGATGATGACTGGGGGATGGTTTATGATTGTCAAAAAAGTCTCTATGATGGGGAGTGTAAAACATATTGGGTGTCCCTTAAAAATCATGGGGAATGTGAACATGGGGATATTTTCTGATGGTTGAAAAAATCTGGATACATGGTACATATACGCCAACATCATCTGGTTGGTGGTTTGAACCATCTTGAAAAATATTAGTCAATGGGAAGGATTATCCCATATATTATGGAAAATAAAAAATGTTTGAAACCACCAACCAGTCATCTTAATGTTTGATGCCACAACAATCCCCAATGAACCCCACATAAATCATGTGTCAAAGCTAATTTTTTCTGCTGCTGAAACCACCACCATATTTTTCTCGTGGTTTCACCAGAAACCGTGGCCCGTCGCACCTTGGGCACCGCCATACGAAACGACTTCGTTCGCCATGGTTTGGACAGGAACTCCAGCTGAATGCAGGTTGATTCCTCTGTTTCAATGGGTTTTTTATGGGGGAATTCTCCAGCTAGAAGTGTAATCTGTCCAATTCTTTGGTGAATAAGTTCTACAACCCCCAAATCAAAATCATCAAACAGGAAAAAGGTGGGCATTTTGGCCATACTCGATCTTTGGAGCAGGGATATTAAAGTACTAGTTAGTATCCACTTAAATTCTGAACATACCTTGGTCTTGGCCATCAGAATTTGAGCCACGTTCCTGGACCTTGCCACGTATGGAACGGCTTGAACGGCTTCTTCGAACCTCGATTTGAAGTAGCCACAGTATAATTAATATATATCTTATATATATGCAATAATATCATTTATATAATATCATAGTCATATAGATATATATATATATATATTCATATAGGCTATATATATAATTATAGCTATTGTAGCTATGTATGTGGCTAGTGGTGTTTAACTATTGGCATCAGCATCTCGTCAATTGGCATCAGCATCTCGGCTAGGGATAGCCTAAGCCCGAAATAATGGGCTTCAATGGATGTAAATGGCATATGGAAGCCCTTTACATATATATGTGGTATGGTGTATTATGGCACTAATTATATGTAATCTATGATTATAGATGTATTTTGAAATGTTCACATATATATATATATATGAATAAAATAATGTATTACGTTATCGTAGCTAATAATTCACTGTATTATGGCACTATAACTGGCTTCTAATCCAGATTAACATGTAAATGGACATTATCATATATGTTGTAATCTGTTGTAAATAGCCTATCATATGGTATAATTTAGATTGAATATATAATGTCTATATTATAACATGGTATAGTAGATTACAATATATGTCTGCATATGTCGGCATATGTCCGCATACGTCTGCATAACTGGCTAACTTGGCTGCCAAACAGTTGGGGTTGCAACTGACCCTCGCGGATGGGAAACTTGTTATTTACGAGCCAAAGATGTCATATGCGGTGTTAACTTCAAATGAATGTTGATGACTGGTTGACTAGTAGAGTGGTACCATATGAAATCGCATCCTCTGGTAATCAAACATGGTAATGGAAAATTGTCTATTTATTTGTAGATGATATATTCCCATCAAAATCTCCATTTATGGGGGATTTCCCATTGCAATGTTCAATTACCGAAGGGTATGGCCTCTCAATGTTCAATTGGCAAATCCAAAAACGGGATACACCGAATTATTGAACTCTCTAGGAGTTGTTGAGAAGAGTATCCCTGTTCGAATTTATGTAGGAGCCAATCCATGTTGCTTCTTCTCCTGTTCTATGACTATATTGACTATCCGGTTTTTCCCCCTAAGCTGGGCTGATACCCAACTTGATTCTATCTACCAAGCTGTGTCCAAGCCAGTTGCTCTGGTGGCTCATCACCCTCTGAAAATGGTCCAAGTGTAGATGATTTACCTATTCAAAAGTGTCATTTCAATAGCTACCCTCCGGTAAACATGGCTTGCTGAAAAAATACCCCATTTAGTTGATGATTTTCATTGATTTTCCCAACAAACATGTCAAAACCTCCATCTATCAGGAATATTCCCATGTAAACATTCCCATGACTTTGCAATGAAAACCCACCATGGCTAGTTCGGGGATTTCCCATCAAAACCTCTATTTATACATAAAGGTTGTTCCATTGCCGCGTTTGATCACCGGAGGCAATGTTAAATTACCAGAGGCTGCCCCCACGAGTGTTACCCTGCCAATGGGTTTCTCTAGAGGGAAACACACACCAAATTTCATGGTGAATCATCGCTTTGGAATACCCTCTGGTAAACTAACAGTTTGCTATTGAAAATGGCAATTTATAGTGGATTTTCCCATGAAAAATGGCGATTTTCCATAGTTATGTTAGTTTACCAGACATTATATATACCACATGCTCAGCCATTTAGACACCCAAGACCTGCTGCTTGCAATTCCCATGGTTCATCATTTTCCCTGTCAAAATAGCCCTGAAAAAGAATTGGGGAGTCTATTCAATAAACATCAATAAACATCAATCAACACCAATAAATATCCATAAACATCAATAAACACCAATAAATATCCATAAACATCAATAAACACCCCATTTTCACACAAAACCAAGATGAAAACCGGCCTTTGCAGCCTCCTTTTTCGCTTCAAAAAGAGTGCGATGATTTCGTCTCGGTCACTGAATTGGCCCTGCTCGTGGCACAATGGGCTGCGAGTTTTGCGCAGTTGGATTTTAAAAAAACCTGTTGCCAATAAGTAAAAATGATGATTATTGAACATGAGTGATTCTTCCCAATAGATGGAAAGTCATAAAAGCCATGTTCCAAACCACCATCCAGATATTATTGAATCTT